GGGCCTAGACCCTTCTCCCGAAACGTCAGCCTTCCTGCTCCTCTGATGCTGCTTGGCCTGCTGTGTTCATCCAGCTCTACACCTTGTTACTACATATTAATATCAACAAGTTTCATCCCACCATCAGACTTACCATGGATTACTCTTCATATATGTCTCATTCTTGGACAAAAGCGTCTCCATCAAGGATGGACATCTCATTACTTCACTCTACCGCAAGCCCACAGATAACCTCATGATGCTGCATTTCTCTAGCTTCCACCCTAAACATATTAAAGAAGCCATCCCCTATGGACAAACCCTGTGTATACACAGGATCTGCTCAGATGAAGAGGAACGCGATGGACACCTAAGATTTTGAACGCCCCCATAAGAACGGGATATGATGCTCAACTCATCGATTGCTACAGTGAAAAACTGCAACGACCTCTTCGAAGACAGACACCGGATACGACCGATAGAGTACCCTTCATCGCCCAGTACTTTCCCGGAGCGGAGAGACTGCACCATGTTCTTTGCAGCCTTCAACGTGTCACCGATGACGATGAGCATCTCGCCAAGACCATCCTTATGCCTCCATTTCTCGCCTTCAAACAACCACCAAACCTTAAACAGACTATTGTTCGCAGCAAACTACCCAGCCATCAGGACAACATTGACCACAACACTACACAACCCTGCCATGGCAACCTAAATAAGACATGTCAAATCATCGACATGGATACTACCATCACGTGTAGGAGCACCATCTACCAAGTACACGGCAGATACTCATGTGACTCGGTCAATGTTGTCTTTCTCAAACTCTGCAGGCAAGGATGCCCCAAGACGTGGTATATTGGCGAAACCATGCAGGCACTATGACAACGGATGAATGGACACCACGCAACATCAAGGAATGTTCCCTCCCAGTTGGGGAACACTTCAGCGGTCAAGGGCATTCAGCCTCCAATCTTTGGGTAAGCGTCCTCCAAGGCAGCCTTCGAGATACACAACAACACAGAATTGCTGAGAGAAACTGATCACCAAATTCCGTATCTGTGAAGACAGCCTCAACTGTGATCTTGGGTTCATGTTGTGCTACATGAGACCCCACCGCACTGTTCTGTATCTGCAAAATCTTCCTTTAGTGTCCTGTTTTGACACCAATATCTTCCTTTACTGTCCTGTTTTGACACCAACACCTTGATAAATTGTTATAGTCTCTCTACCTTAATTAGTTGTACAGTTTTGGATTACTTTTTACTTTGGTTAGACTCTTGGCATGTGACTCTTATACCTATCATGTTATTCCAGTCATTTAGTTTGACTCCAGCAGCACTTTATTTTTAATTTTCTGTAATTATCTCTCTGCCTCATTCAGTTGGATTATAGGTCATCCCTTCACTTGTATTTCAGCTGTTGACACTTTACTCACACCATCTGACACTTTTGATCACCTGCAGAGACTTATTATTTGAAACTCGACTCATACGTTTTGTAAGATCTTTTGATCTGTCTGCCCATTGATCTCTCTGCCAATAAAAGTGAAACTATTCCACTGATGAGGGTTTCCAGATCCAGAAGCTACACTCTAAAAAAGTAGAACCAAACCTTCCAAAAGTATTAGAGGATGTGGAACAAAACTGGGTGTGTGGAGTTAGGCCACAGAACAACCATAATCTCCTGAAGTGATAGAACAGGTTAGAGAGGTCAAACAACCTCCTTCTGTTCTTATGCAAAGGGCACTACAACTAAAGACCCCCATGATTGGAAGCAGTTAATATATTGAGCATGTACCCAGATATAAATTCATTCAAAAGTTCAGTATCATTCCCTTTTGACTTAAGGATCATGTATTATTTCTTTCAACAACATCATTCTTCTAATAACTCTGCAGGAGCAAGTCAGAAGCACCTTTCTTTAAAATTGAGTATAGATTAACTTCAATAGTGCTGATTTGGATGGAGAGTAAGCTTTGTGCAGATAAATCAATGTTTGCTGTTTTTACAAAAGAACAATGAAAGGAATGGCACAATCCAAAATAGCAGGAAGGTTGCCGCGTATGTGTTGGGTGCTGAGTAACTGCGGAACATTCCCTCTTGGCCTATTTCAGTGCACATATTAGTGGGGGAGGTGGGGGGTGGTGGTGGGGGAGCAGGGGCTCCATTGTTGCCCACCATAGCTGGCTGCCTGATGCAGCTTACACAGCAGCGTGCCAGGAATAGACTTCTGCCAGTTCTTTCTGATCTGATTATTGCAGTATGGAAAGCAGTGGCAAGTATTGTGACCAAGATGACTATTACCAAGTGAGAAGGGAACAGATTTTGGATACAATTGAAATTGGAAGAAATTGGAATATTGGGAAGAAGGTGTTACTAAGGTAGAATATACGCTGTGATCTTATTGAGTGGCAGGGCAGACTCTAGGTAGCAAATGGCCATTTTTTATTATTTATGTTTACAAGGAAGGGTTCTGAGGAAGGGTCGCTGGACCCAAAACGTTAACTCTGATTCTTTTCTTCACTGATGCTGCCAGACCTGCTGAGCTTTTCCAGCCACTTTGTTTTTGTTCCTGATTTGTGGCATTCGCAGTTCTTTTGGTTTTTATTTATGTGTTCAGAGTGTCCAGTTAATATTATATGAAGCGGTCTATGTTTTAGAATTTTTCCATGACACAAAATTACACACTGTGAATGCCTAGAAATAGGAGATTTTGTTGCTGGTAGCTTTTTCAACAAAGTGAATTGAGCATTTTTTTTAAGTATTGATAGCAATAGGTGGAGTCTTAATTTTTTTTTGAAAAAGCAAAGCTTCAATTTAAGAATTTGTTTGTGTGCTGTACCTTTGTTGTCAATTCTGGATCTCGATCACTTTTGTTTAAACTGTTCACTAGGTGATGACCTGCTTTGAATTCATAAACAAAAGAGAATGGCTGACAGAAATTCGGTCAATAAACATCATTAGCTGTTGAGGAAATGGGAGCAAGATATCTATTTGAATATTATAATTAGTGTTAAAGCAGCCAGGAAATTAAATGGTTGACTGTGGGATTAACTTTAATAGGAATCAACTTCGGTAACTCAAAATTCTGATGAAATAGCAGTCTGATAAATATTTTTTCCCTGAGCACAAATGATTAATTTAAAAAAAAACAAGGTTTCAACAGAGGAGTAAATAGAATGTTTAAACAAGAAGAAAATGTTGAGTATTTTTAGTTTCACAAATGACAAAGTTTCTGATGTATATTCATTTCGGTGGAATGAGGGAAATGATTAACACATTAATTAATCCAGCATACTCATCAATCTTTTATTGAAGTATTCTTGGATCAAAAGGTTAGTGAAGTATCACTCATTAATATTCCATTTGCAAGATGTAATAAATACTGATAAGAAATTCTAATTCCTTATCTCTCAGCAAAACAAACTGACGATTTTGTAATTTATTTTTCAGATTAATTTTTTTAGAGAATGTTGCACCTTTGTTCATTGACGTATGCTAGCTGTAGATTAAATACTGTGTTCATTTTAAAATTCTTATCCTTGTTTTCAAACACTACCATGTCCTTATGCATTGCTATGTCCTGCAACTCTATAACCCTTGAAGATAGATATTCACACTTCTCTAATTCTGGTCCCTTAAACCTCTTGGATTTCAGTTGCTGCACCATTGGAAGTTGTGACTTTTGCTGCCTAGGCCCTAAGCTCTCTCAAACACCTTAAATCTAAGTCTCTTCCCCTTCATCTTTTATGAACTTCTTAAAAATATACCTTGTTGATCAAGCTTTTGACAAATGGCCTGATATCTCCTTCTGAGACTCGGTGGTATTCTTGCTTTATGATGTTTCTGTGAAAAACCTTTAGATATTTTTTATTACGGTAAAGGATCGATATAAACAGAAGTTGGTGATTATAAATAATTGAACTTTTTTTTGTGTTATCTTTCCCTTTTACCAATTGGCACATTTTATTAATGCTCCTTGGTATCCGTAGAATAGATCTAACAAATACGATGTTCATAAAAGAGCAATTTTCTGCTTGCTGAAAAGCATCTCCAGCTTGAATTAATGCAGTTTATTTCACAACTAGGCATATGGTGAGCCAAAATGTCAGTTCTGCAATGGACCTGTAATTCTGTAAAGTATTTTGAAGTCATAAAATTCAAAAGCCATTACTGTTTATTAACGATTCAGTACAGTGTCATATAAAAACACTGATCTGGAAACTGCATTAAATTGATCTACAGTGACTTAATTGGGAATTAATGCATTCCATGGTAACCATTTTTTGCTTTTATTTAGATTTTGTCCCCGCTGGTTTCAAAGGCTCAATTATCACAGACAATCCAGTCACGTTTAGCTAGCTGCAAGATTCTGGGAAAAGTTGCCAGAAAATTTGAATCTCATATGTAAGTGGAACAAGGTATTTTTGTTAGTGCTTCTCTGGTAAGCACAAAAATCTGATGTATGCAACAGAATTTTCTACAGTCTATTATCATGCTTCTTGTCTCAATACACAGAAGTGCAAGAATGAGGAAATATTTTTGCATTTTAACAGAATCAAAAAAAGGTAGTTAGTATTCTGATGCAATTTGTATCAATATTGTATTCTTGCGCATGTACACTGACGTGATGTTTATTGCACAGAAATTAGAAACCACTATAGTTTATTTTGGCTTGTATTCCCATTTTATAAATTTGAATGAAATAAAACATAAGTATTACAGAAAAAAGAGATGTTGTTGCAGCTTGATATCTTGGAACTGATCAGGATAAGTGTACGAGAACCAAATTTCAAATGATCTCCATTTATATTATAGGAGAAAAAGGTGCTTAGTTGTTGGCAAGTAACTGTGGTGGGCTGAGGCTTTGCCATGAAAAAACAATAAGGGACTATAAGCAGCCCAAGCTCCCAGCTAATACAAAAGCCAAAAGGATTGAACATTTCCCTTTTACAGAGAATGGGTCCCTGCCTATGATTGTATCTAGCAAGTGTAAATGAGCTACATTACAAACATGACTAATTAGCTTAAATTATTATTTCCGTATAGCTATTGTCACTCTCAGTATAGTATAGCAAGTGCTATTGGGTTAAGGAAGCCATTTCACAATGGTACTATGTAGTATTTTTCCACAAACGGGACGCTGCTATCAGTCCAAAAAGACAATTTGCTTATCACAAAACTTAGCAAAGGCATGTATGAATTTCAGTGTCAGCATGATTGATTCAATCAATGGCCAGTACCTCCAGTTGTTCTTAATGGGCAAAGTATAAAACAAACTTAACCAGCCTTTAGCAAGGCCTTTGACAAGGTCCCACACGGCAGGCTAGTCCTGAAAGTTATGTCGCGTGAGATCCAAGGAGAGCTAGCTAATTGAATTCAAAATTGGCTCGATGGTAGGAAGCAGAGGATAATGGTTGAAGGTTATTTCTCGGACTGGAGGCCTGTGACCAGTGGTGTGCCACAGGGGTTGGTGCTGGGACCTTTGTTATTTGTTATTTACATAAATGATCTGGATGTGAATGTACAAAGCATGATTAGTAAGTTTGTGGTTGATACAAAATTAGGAGGTATTGTTGATAGTGAAGAAGGTTACCAAAATTACAGACGGATCTTGATCAGATGGAGAAGTGGGCTGAGGATTGGCAAATGCAGTTCAGTACAGATAAGTGTGAGGTGTTGCATTTTGGAAAGTCAAACCAAGGTAGGACTTATACAGTAAATGTTAAGGTCCTGGGGAGTGTTGTGGAACAGAGGGACCTAGGAATACAAGCACATACTTCATTGAAAGTGGCATCACAGGTGGACAGTGTGGTGAAGAAGGCATTTAGCATGCTGGCCATCATTGGTTGAGGCATTGAGTACAAGAGTTGGGACGTTATGTTACAGTTGTATAAGTAGTTGGTGAGGTTGCACTTGGACTATTATGTGTACAGTTTTGGTCACCCTGTTGTATGAAAGACAGTTCAACTGGAAAGTATGCAAAGAAGATTTACAAGGAAGTTGCCAGGACTAGTAGGCCTGAGTTATAGGAAGTGGTTGGCCAGGAAAGGACTTTATTCCTTGGAATGTTGGAGAATGAGGGGTGACCTTATTAAGGTGTGTAAATTCATGAGGGGCATAGATAGGATGAATGCATATAGTCTTTTTCCCAGGCATGAGGAAGTGAAAACTAAAAGGCATAGATTTAAGGTAAGAGGGGAAAGAGTTAAGAAGGATCTAAGGGGCAACTTCTTCACACAGAGAGTGGTGCGTATATGGAATGGGCTGGCAGAGAAAATGGTTGAGGCAGGTACAATTTCAACATTTAAAAAAAAACATTTGGATAGGCACATGGATGGGAAGGGTTTAGAGGGGTATGGACCAAATGCAGGCAATTGGAACTAGCTGAGTGGGCACCATGGTCAGCATGGACCAGTTTGGGCCAAAGACCCTGTTTCTATGCTGTATTACTCTATGACTAAACTCTATGACTCTATGCTTGCAAAACCTGAAACATAATGTTTGATAAATGTGAGTCCATTATTGTATGACATTTGCTGAACAATCCTGAGAGATAGTAGTTACACAAATAATCAATTTAAGATAGCTGGTCAACCAGTAACTGTTCTGAGGAAGGGTCACTGGACCCGAAACGTTAAGTCTGATTTTCTCTTCACAGATGCTGCCAGACCTGCTGAGCTTTTCCAGCAACCTCTGTTTTTGTAACCATAACTTGCCTCATTTACAATTTTCAGAAAAAACATACATTCGTTTGCAGGGACCCATACTATGGAAACAAAAGAGTTGTTTTATGAGGAAAGGTTGGACAGGCTCAGCTTCTATCTGCTGGAGTTTGGAAGAATAAGAGATGACTTGATTGAAACATACAAAGTCCTGAGTGTCTTGACAGGTGGATGTAGAAATAATGTTTGTCTTGAGAGAACTTGAAATTCAGGATCACTTTACAAATATGGATTCTCCTGTTTAACCCCAGGAAGAGGAAGATATGGGTCTTGCAATAATCTTGAACTAGGACCTCCTTACACATTTGCAAAAAGTGCACAGACTGGAGAAGTCCAGCATGCTGACTACTATTGTCCAAAACATTGATCCAAATCTGGATTAAAATATTCCCCTAATCTACGCACCATTTATCCATACATAAAACATTATTTCCAAGTGTGTTTACTTTTAGGATTCAGGTGACAGTTAAATGGCTGAAGCTTTATCAGATACAAATCAATAAGGTGGCCTCTATGCAGTTACACTCGGTACAGGTATTTCTGCTGTAGCGAGTGCTTCGTTAACATGAATTGGTTCTAACGCGATTGATGAATAGTGGATGCTGTTTGGACAGCGCAAACTTTCTGCTATAAAGGTATAGTGATTTTTCTATAGCAATTTCCCTATAACACAATTTTCTATGGCAATTTTCTAAAATGCGAGGTCACATAGGAACGCAACTATTGTGTTATAGGAGAAATACCTGTACTTTTTGACAATAGTTAATTGCATATTGAATCTTTTATGACTGGGCTTCATGGATATATGCCATTTTTCTGTTTGTTTTCTATTGCATTTGTAATTATTCGTTATACTATATTTTCCTTTTTTTCTAAGATTTTAAATCAGATATTGTTCTATTTATTTTCTGTAACTCTTAGTGGATTTTAAGGATGCACAAAAATCTTGGTAATTGGTTTATTGCCTTTATATTTTGATTTTGTGAAGAATTGCTACTAGTTATTTTATTCAGCATGTCTTGCTGTAGATGGAAATAACCTAAAAGCTCAAGTGATGTTTGGTTTAGAATGATAGCTAAAATAAAAGTAGAGCAAATAGAAACATATAAATATTATTATTTATAACAATGTAACAAAAAACTACAAGGATGTGAACTTTCATTTTATTTTTAGTAGTGATCTGTATAACATGCAGAGATGGTGATGCTTCACCAATATAAGGTTCCAAATTTGAGACCGGAAAGCTTTGCTGTGTAAAATATGTATGTTGATAACATCCAACTCTCTTCCACTGCCTTTCCCTCTTAAACCCCCAGTTGGACTGCTTGTATTAGATCAAAATATGGGTGAGTCACATTTCCCTCCTGCACATCAGAAAGATCAAACCAATGTTGTAAGGTGAACTGTTACCTTTCTTTTTGCTGGTTGCCTCCCAGCCAATGACTTGCTCAGTCCTTATTAAGTTTTCTTTTTTGTTTTGATATCGGGCAGAACTACAAAACTTTCACATTTTATCATCACCAAAACTGTTTTCTCACACCTCTATAATATTGTCACTCCCACTGTTTCTGAAATCCTTGCCTGTGTTTTTGTCAGTTTCAGAATTCTTCAGTTTGGGCTTTCATCCTTCGCTCTGGATAACACCATCCTTCCCAGGTTTTGCTGACTTCATTGTATCCCTGTCCCTCAAAAACTTGAATTTAAAATCTGTACAGGTTCATGCACCCTATCATTGCAATTTCCTTCATCCTTCTGTTCCATCATCAAGCATTGGTCCTCGAATTTTAAACATTGTACATTCCTCTCCCTTTGCTCAAACATTGATGGCTGAGATTCTAACTTTATTGTTAATTTCCGATATATCCTCCAGAAAGCTCTTCAACTTTTAATCCATCATTGCAGCCAAGATTTTAAGTCAGCTGTCAACCCTCCTGCCCTGACTAAATGCACATTCATTTATCCATTTTATTTTATGCCTCGGTCTATATTCAATGTTGAAAGTATTCAGTAAATGGAACTAATTCCTGTAAGATGGTGAAAAATATAAGTGTGGACTGTCATAGCCTTTTCTTAAATCATGCACATGTTGATACACCTAATATGATTTATTTCCTTAGTTTTGGTTGGAATATGAAGTAAAGCATTTTATTCTGGAAGTTGTTTTATTGCATTGAAGAAAGATTGAGATAAAACTGATAATACTGTTTGTGAAATGCAGCTGTATAAATCAATCTGTCTTTCTTTTTATCTATCTTACCCCCTACATTTCTCTCTTTTTCTTTTCTCAAATTTCCCATATTCATGTTGCTGTAGTTTCAATCTCTCTCTTTTTGCAGTGTTTCTTTAGTCTTTAGCGTTCTAAAGTCGCAGATTACAGTCATGCATTAATTATAGATTTATCATGAAATAGGCCAAAAAAAGTGCATAAATAGTTGTATTGTCTCTGCAGAATAAAACGAGATATTCTGCCTCTAGTGAAATCACTTTGCCAGGATGTAGAATATGAAGTTCGCTCCTGTATGTGTCGTCAGCTGGAATTCATAGCACAGGGAATTGGGTAAGTATTGTAACTTGTATGTCTAGCCTATGCATATAACTCAAAATCAGTGTGTGCTGGAGAAATACAACAGGTTTGGCAGCATCTGTATAGAGAAAAGCAGCATTAATGTTTCAAGTCCAGTGACCCTTCTTTCGAGTAGTTCTGATGAAGGGTTACTGGACTTGAAATCTTCGTTAACTCTGTTTTTCTCTCTGCAGATGTTGCCGGATGAGCTGTGTTTCTCCGACACTCTGTTTTTGTTTCAGATTTCCAGCATTGCAGTTCTTTGTGTTTATTTCTATGTGTAGAAATCTTGGCTTAGCTGATACAAGAATGCTAGATGTTGCATTAAAACCATCAATACTGCAAATTTCTGATCATTGAGAAGTTTAACTAAGCAAATGGGTGCTCAGACTAAACAACTCTGCTGGAATGCATGAAGGAAAATACCTGAAGGACACATGAATGTGGTGTTACTATTACAACATGGGTTTGAAATCCTGACTGCAAAGTGGAACAGGTCAAGGTGAAATTAGCCGTGTACACTGCTGCTTTTAATTTGAGTAGTTTTTTTTTGTTTAAGGTTTAATAATGTAAACATTTCCATAAAGTTGTGTAGTGCAGTTAAAGACATTTTTTAAAAAAGGAGCTTCTTTAATGTTAATGTTAAATTCATTACCTAGTAATGTTAGAGATAATTGAATTAATTTTTATTTCTGGTTTTGATTGCAGAAGGATGTAATATAAATGAAATAAAAGTATTTTTAAAATTATGATACTTACAGGAGCTTCATGATATGACTGAAGCTACTCTATAATATTAGACAACTCTCAATTTAAAAAAGTTTCATGCTGTGTGGAACTACAAATTGGAACTAATTGACTGTGGTGGATTTAGAGTGAGATTCAGCTGTCATCAATGCTTGATGCTCCCCAAATCACCTTTGTAAATAGAATTCATACCATTTGATTTTACTACCTATGACTACCCGATATAAACCTACTAACTTCCAAGTAATTACTAAGCTTTACATATACGTTATGTTGATTTTTTAAAAACAATTCTTTCAATAGATGTGGACATGACTGCAGTACCTGCATTTGTTTCTCATCTCGGAATTCCCTTTAACTGAGTGACTTATTAGGCCATTTCAGAGGACAGCTAAAATTCACCCATATTACAGTGGGTATGCAGTCACTAAGGATGGTAGCTTTTATATCCAGATTTCATCATTTGAATTAGCCTGGGCCTTTGGATTACCAGAGATTGTCACTGCACCAGTACCTGCCCTATTGAAAAAAGATTATTAACAGAACGGATAAGGCAGGTGGGGCACTCTACATCAATGTGACTTTTCTTTGCTCTTTTGACGTAAATTGTTTTTCTTTTCATTATGTAGGGTTGAACAGACAAAAACTGCAATTCTTCCTGAATTAGTAGAGTTGGCTAGGGACGAAGGGAGCAGTGTACGTATTGCTGCATTTGACACCATTGTTAATCTGCTTGTGATGTTTGACAGTGGTAAGTTAACAGGCAACAAATTGCATTGTTAGTGAATTAGTGTTTTCAATATTCTAAATACCTTTGGTGATAATAGAAGAAAATGGATTTTAAACTAAATTCCGAATTAAAATTGCTTTCTGCTGCAAGTCTTATGAGATTGTCCGTTGGATACAATTTTATGGAATTCCTTTATGATTTTGCTTGTAAGATAGCGAAACAATTTTCATCGTAAAAGTATAGGTCAAATGGATATTATAAAGTCCACCAATATTATGTGCTATTTTTGGCAGCATCTGTGGAGAGAAAGCAGAATTAATGTTTTGGGTCCAGTAACCCTTTTTCTCCACAGATGCTGTCAAACCTGCTGAGGTTTTCCAGCATTTTCTATTTTTGTTTGATTTCCAGCATCCACAGTTCTTTGGTTTTTTTTGTGTGTTCTTTTATTTGCATTATTTTTATACTAAAATGACCACTATACATTGTAATGAGAAACTACACAAAATACGAGTATAAAATAAAGAGAGAAACAAAATTCTTGTCAGCTGAAATTGCATGATTAAAAATGCTTCATTTTTAGCCCAAGTTTATCTACAGTCTAAACAAATATTTATTGATTTATTTCCCTACATGCATTGTTATTGCTTCAAAAAAGTGTTTCTTTGTGTGACAGAGAGAAATTGCAACCAGGTTTACACACTGACCACGGTAAATGGGGCAGAATACTTTGAAGGGATTTGAGGTGATAATGAAAAGGAGTGATTGGGCAAGGGAGATGGTGCATTTTTGAGTTTATTTAGTATTGTGAATCTCTGAATTCTTAGTTAGTTTTGGATTTACAAAGCAACGTGGTCTTGACCATCTAGGACAGCTAATTAATTTGAATCATTTAGCATCTGAAAAAAATCTTTAAAAGCTTGAAGATTATCATGCAGGATCTTATGTGTTTTTCCTGATGGAGAACATGCTTGGTGTTTCAGAACCGAATAGTCCTAAAAAGAGAAAGAAAAAAAATGCTGATATTATTCCAAAAACACAGTACTCTTGTGTTCATAAGGCTTATTGATTTTGTTCAATCAAAGCTTGTGAGAGACTTTGCAAGGAGTCATGTCAGTACTCGATGAAGCTGGATAGCAGCTCCTATGAGCCTATTAAACATTTTTTTTTAGTTTGAAACCAACAAAAAAATTGTATCCTTTTAAAAGTCGGTGAAAGCAAGTGCAGGTTGCCAATATATTTAACTAGCACATCTTAATCCAAAATACATACAATCCTCAGCATCAGCGGTTGTATTATTGATATAAGATTAACACTCCAACATTCCAAGTACTTAAGAATATTAGTAATTATTATGACAATTTCTTTTGACTTCCTGACATTTCTTCTCTGCTTCCTTTGGATTCACAGAATCTTGTAGTGCAGGAGCAGGCCATTCAATCCATCATATCTGTGCTAACTCCCCAAATGAGTCTCACTTAGTGTCATTACTCTGCTTTCTCTTCATAACTTTGCACATTGTTCCTCATTTTTAAAAAATTATTCATTCGTGGGACGAGGGCATCGCTGATTAGGTTATCATTTATTGCCCATCCCTAATTGCCTAGAGAGCAGTTAAGGATCAACCACAGTGATGTGGGTCTGGAGTCACATGTAGGCCAGACCAGGTAAGGATAGCAGTTTCCATCCCTAAAGGGCATCAGTAAACCAAATGGTTCTTTCCAACAACTAGCAATGGATTTATGGACATCCTTGGACTCTTTAATTCCAGAAATTTATTAAATTCAAAATTCACCATCTGCTGTGGCAGGATTCCAACCTAGGTCCCTAGAATATTACCTGGATCTCTGGATTAACAGACCGGTGATAATACCACTAGGCCATTGCCTCCCCTGTAGACTACTTTGAATCTGAAACACTCAACATACCTTTCTCCTTCTATGTCTTTCCTCCAATTGGAATGTATATTGGACTTTGGACTTCAAGAAGGCCTTTGACAAGGTGCTGCACAGGATGCTGCTGAGTAAGATAAGAGTCCATGGTGTTAGAGGCAAGGTGCTAGCATGGATAGAAGATTGGCTGTCTAGCAGAAAGCAGAGCGTAGGGATAAAAGGGTCCTTCTCAGGATGGCATCGGTGACAACTGGTGTTCCGCAAGGGTCAGTATTGGGACCACAACTTTTCACTTTATACATTACTGATCTCGATGAAGGAACTGTGGACATTCTGGCTAAGTTTGCAGACGACACAGAGATAGGTGGAGGGACAGGTAGTATTGAGGAGGTGGGGAGGCTGCAGAAGGATTTGGACAAGTTAGGAAGTGGCAGATGGAGTACAACGTGGGAAAGTGTGAGGTCATGCACTTTGGTAAGAGGAACAAAAGCATGCCCTATTTTCTAAATGGGGAGAAAATTCAGAAGTCTGAAGTGCAAAGAGACTTGGGAGTTCTAGTCCAGGATTCTCTTAAGGTAAACTTGCAGTTTGAGTCAGTAGTCAGGAAGGCAAATGCAATGTTGGCATTTATTTTGAGAGGACTTGAATATAAAAGCAGGGATGTACTACTGAGGCTTTATAAGGCTCTGGTCATGCCACATTTGGAGTATTTTGTGCCATTTTGGGCCCCATATCTCAGGAAGGATGTACTGGCTCTGGAGCGGGTTCAGAGGAGGTTCACGAGAATGGTCACAGGAATGGAAAGCTTAACATATGTGGAACATTTGAGGACTCTGAGACTAAACTCCTGGGAGTTTTAGAAGGATGAGGTGGGATCTAATTGAAACTTACAGAATACTGAATGGCCTGGACAGAGTGGATGTTGGGAAGATGCTTCCATTTGTAGGAGAGACTAAGACCGAGGGCACAGCCTTACAGTAAAGGGAAGACCTTTTAGAATGGAGATAAGGAGAAACTTCTTCAGCCAGAGAGTGGTGAATCTATGGAATTTACTGCCACAGAAGGCTGTGGAAGCCAGGTCATTGACTACATTTAAGACTGCGATAGATAGGTTCTTGATTATCAAGGGGATCAAGGGTTACAGGGAGAAAGCGGGAGAATGGGGTTGAGGAACTTATCAGCCGTGATTGAATGGCGGAGCGGACTCGATGGGCCAAATGGCCTAATTTCTGCTCCTATGTCTTATGGTTTTGTATTGGGTCAAAAGTCAGCAACAGTCCTAACCATGCTTAATTTAAGATTCACTTTATTAATTTGTGTATTTATGATTAATTGCCCCTCTGAGTTAAGCTATTCAATTCCAGTCTAAAATAAAAATGTTTCCCTAGTGTTTTTTCAAGAAATCAATTTTCAGCTAGTTAATACATACTTGGAAGAGCAATATTTATTGTAAAGTTAGCTACCAGCAATGAACAGAAATCTTTTTTTTATTATAATTTTTGCTGAACATTTTACAATTTGTAAGCCTGAAAATGCTCTCCAATTTTATATTCTTCAAGAAGGGAGTATTACATTAAGTGTACTCTTTGTACTTTTGGATTCTTTAGATAAGTAAATCAAAATTGACCATGCTCCTTAAGATAAAAATACTGGATGCTTGGAGTTAGAACCTTTTGATCTTTAGCTGTTCCTCACAAATCAGATCCATTGCCCAAGAATGACAGTTAAGTGACGTTTCCTGTTAGGATCTTCTGCAGATCTTCAGCTCTTGCAAGTGATGTAAATGAAGAAAGAGTTAACCTTCAGAGGAAATGAAGGTTTCCTACTTGACACTTGACTACTTTTCACGCTTGACACTCAAAGTATTTCACTTCAAATAATTGTGTAAATATGTTAACAGAATTCATGTCAATACGAACATCAAAATTATTTGGGGTCAATATTACAGAAAAGTATTATATACAATATTATAGAAAGCAAATAGCAACACTGAATTTATGGTGACCGGATCACTATCAATAAAAGGGTTTTAGACGTTCATGCGTTATTCTGAACACTTCTGACGCAAGCCTGACAATTACACAATACTTTAGTTGTCATTGCGGATTCTACACCATTGTCAATGGAAAGTCAATGGACTTTCATGTGCTTTGGAATAGGGAAATACATACAAATTTCACTTAATTACTGAATGTATAGAATACCCTAGATAATGGGGATGAAATAGATGCTATTCTCAGGTTTATGAAGAATAAGCACATTCAAACAATGCATAATGATTACATCTGTTATGAACATGGACTAAAGTTAGAAGTAGATAGTGCTGTCTTTTCAGGACTGGAGACAAATAAACTTTATTTATCCCACTTTTCGATAATATTGACCCCAGAGTCAGAAGATATTTCCACACAGCTTCCCAAATAATTTTGATGTCCGTATTGACATGAATTCTGTTAACATATTCACACAATTATTTGAATATTTTTGATCATTGTCAGTCTTCATATCATAGATCCTTAATATAAAAGTGACAGATGAGTTCATTTGCAGAAATTTATGTTTCATCAGTGTATACCAAGTGGCATTGATGCCTTCTAATATTTTATTATAGCATCTATAATTTAGGAAAATATCTCTGTACTTTGGAGAATACAAATTCTGATGATGTAAGGTCTAAGCAGGTTGTCTAGTATTACTTCAACAGCATCACAAAATAAAGTGACCTTTTTTCTCTTAAAAGTAGACCTCAATATTTTCTACCAAAACAGTCCTGTTTGAAGATAATATTATGCATTAAGTTTTTGAAATCTGTACAATCAGTAAACTTTTGATATTGGTGCCATTTTTGTAAATGTCTACCCATTTTCCTCCTCACATTTGTTATTTCAGTGATACATTATTCTGTGATTATCTTGTCAGATGACCGTACCCAAATTATATTTCCCTTGGTGATGATGTTCTGTGAGAAATCATTCAAAGCAGATGAGAGCATTCTTGCACCGCTGTCACACCAACTAGGAAAGCTCTGTCATGGTCTTTCAGGTAAATTTAGTAAGTTTAATTTAGTTTCTTAACTCCATTTTTAACAGTTTGTTTAAAACATATGTAGCTAAATGGAGGGATTCATTTTGTTTTCTCCACTCTTTATTTTTTCCAACCCTCCTTTTACTTTCAATGTTAATTTTCAGTGACTGACTTGACTATTTTCTGTTGTCCTTGTTCACTCATCTTCCAACAGCCAAGTGAGTACAGCACTTTTACCATTATTGTGCATGGTAGTGTAAAGACTTCTGGAAAGATGCATTCACCTTAAAAAGGATCCACAGGAATATAGCCAAGTTTATGAAATTTGTCGTCTTAATTTAATCCTCTGAGCCCTAATATTATCCTCACAAACTTATGATGTGTTGCTTCCAAAGCTAATATATACTTGTTGAGGTGCATTGCTCAAAATTAAGCATAGTGCTCAAATAAGGTAGGACGTCGGCTCTGAATCATAACTTTTTCCCCTTAATCTTAACAGAATTGAATAATAAAGGCCAACGTTCCATTTGTCTTCAATTTATTTTCTTGAACTTTTCTATTACTTTTAAAAGATTTATTTACTGCACTTGGGCTTCCAAAATCTCTTTCTAACACTCTACAAATTCACTAAAATGATGCCAGTGCGTGGGAGATTAAATTATAAGGACTGCTTACTCAGTCTGTATTCCTTTGAGCTTATAAGGTTTTGAGGGAAGAGAGGGTTAATTTAGTCAAGATCTTACTGTTATTCAATGATTCATTAGGATAAATGAAGGGGAGCTATATCCTGCAATGGGAGAATCCTGAACAAGAGGGCATAATGTTCAAACTGAGACTCAGGCATTCCGGATTAAAGGTGGAAAACGTTTATTCCATTTTGTTGGAAATGTGGAATTCCTATCAGTGCCCCCACCCAACAAAGAAAGGCTGTGGATGATGATTGACAAGACAGTATTTTTAGGTAACGGTAACCAGGGCTATAGAGAGAAGCAGTTAAATGCAGTTAAGGTCATGATCTAACTAAATGGCAGAACAAGCTCCAATGGGGGACACTTGCATGCAGTTGAAGTGAGATATATTAATATATAGGCCGTTATTCTTGGCAGACAGAAGGAAAACGTACACGCAGACACCATATATTTAAACCCAAAATAGTTGATAGCAATTCTCTGATTCGTTTCTTGGGGCAATTTTTTGACCAGTTGGAGTCAACCTGCCTGATTCAATATCTAAACAAAGCTTGGCAGTTAACTTTCACCATTAACTGATGCATTCTCCATGACAATGTCCCTGCCAATCAGAGTTCATTTGCCAATCAAATAGCAACTCTCCTCTCATATAGTATAAATATCATTTTCCTTTGCATTGCTGTTATTCAAGAATTATCCTGATGAGTGCAAGACAAAATGTTTTGACAATTTGTTTTCTCAACAGTATTCTAGCATATTATCAAAGATTATTGTTGGAACTTTGTTTGATCCTTCCTCAGATTTGTTTGGATTAAAACTGAGTGATTTGTTTTGTATCATTTGTTTCTTTAAAATGCCAATCATCTACTGACTGATGTACACCCACCTCTGGTTCTATAATCCCAATGTCCATCACCTCTGAAAACCAAGGCAAGTACTTATTATCTCTGTTTTTCTGTATATCCACTCTAAACTTGCCTATATTAACTTTGGCCTAACTATTTCAAGGCCATCTTCTTACTATAAAAAGCTTTTGCATTCTCAGCTTTCTATTCTCCTTTTATGTTGCTTTTCTTTTATATACCTTAGGTATTTCATTACTGCCCTGCAAGTGCTAAGTGCTCCTTTTTATTTACAGTTTTAATTAACATTGACCTTCTTATATAGTTCCTCAGCATTCACATCTACCCTTTTGGCCTTATAGCATCCACTTGATCATTTTTAGTCATTGTAAATATTCCCATTTTCTGTCATCTCTATTTGATAATTAATGTGTCTTTATTATATTTTGACTTACAATCCGATTCTTTTTGGATTCAAGTTTTAAAGCATTTTGTTTTTTAATTCTTGCTTTGAACCTAATTATAGTGCTATTTCCAAAATGCTTCCTACTTTTAAGTTACTTATTTAATTCTGGATAATTAAATTAACCATGACAAGTATTATTTCTTTCCTGTTGGAATGTTAATATGAGAACTGAAACAAAACTCCTTTTCACAGAACAAGCAGTTCTTCCATTTCTAATTTTGGCTAATGTAAAAATTGTTGAATTATGTTTTTCTAATTAGGGTATGAGCTAATTTGCTTGGTTTTGTTTCCATTGTTTGGTTGTCAATAATAAACGTGCTTACTAATTTTAATCATATTTATTTTTGTACATATATGCATATGAATATAAATATGCCATCGTATTAGCAGGAGAACAGTTCTCAATGTGAATGTAGTGCATTATATTGGAGCAAATTTACTGGGATAATTCCTGTTTAGTAATTCTTCATGTGAACAGATGAATGGAATTTAAGCATTTAGGAAAAGAGTTCGCATGAAACTAGTTGGAGCATCTGAGAGGGCCTGAACCTGCTGCACAGTATGGAGAGAAGATGGAGTTGATAGTTGGCCATAGCTAATGGCATTCTGCTTATAAGTGGTGAATGAATGCACTTGGTATCTAAGATCAGTACTCTTGTATACTTCGGGACAGGGATAAACTAGGCATAAGTTAAATGTGAAATAGAGACTCTGGGAACAGAGGTTGCAAAAAAAGTGGGAAAGAAGGGAATATTGTTTGGTAAATCATAATATGGTGTGTGTTGAATTAGCGAAAAATCATAAGTATAACATTTAGTAGTAGAAGCAAAATAAGTGTCAGCATGGGCATATGGAGATGTAAAATTGGTAGGTTGTATGTCGAAGGGGTGTACAGAGTGATATCCATGGTACAATATTGAGGAATCCAATGGCTAAATCTAAGATTAACTAAGGTTTTAGCAAAGATTTCTAGCTCTGGTTGTGGGTGTTATACCATAACAGACCGGCCAGTATAAATTCCAAACGGAGGAAAACAACATCGCTTCATTGGAGGCCTCACTGATGATGTTACCTAGCATGGTGACAAAATGTCTGAGCGAAAACCAGTCAGCTCGGCGAGTAAGTCAACAACCTCACTAGGATTGACTAATTAGGACTAGGCTTGGAGATCTCATTAGCAGTATCTATCGTCAAACGTTAAGACATACTATTTTCAACCATTACCTTTTTATACCATTCAGGGAACTTAACGGATGAACAACATCTGTGGTTTTTGGATTTCTACAAGAAATTTAGTACATTAGGTCTACAACAAGAAAACGGTCAAAGTGATCACACAACTCAATTCTATGCAGCAGATATGGATGCAAAATATGTATCTGTCAGACAGAATTGTGCCTACAACTTGCCAGTAAGTGCTGATTGTAAAATGGTAACATTAACCTGTAGAATTATTTTATTCTTCACTGCCCAGAAGGTCACACTGTACACACATACATATATATTATGGGGAATGTGGACTGCAGCACCTGTCTCCATGGTCTGTGCTGCTGATTTTTTGTTTTTTTTCCATCACTTCTTCATTTTCTACCAGTTATTACCATCCTCTTTCATGTCTCATTTCCTTTCTTTATGGTTCTTCGTGGTAGTGTGTGTGTTAAGGTGACGAAAACTGCTACGATCCTCTGGAGACTCCATGTTGGAACAAGTTTGTAGGAAAGATGTGGATCCTTCGCTGTACTCATCCCACCTATTCCTGTTTCCTGCTTCCCTCTTAGAAAAAGGGAGGGCAAGAATAAGAGGGATGTAGGCTACAATATGGAAGAAGCAATAAAGACATTGAGGGACCTGAACACAGGAGATGGTTAGGAATAGAAATGGAAAAGGGGCTGAGAAAGGAGAACTATTTTAGAATATTGAAAATAATATTGACTATTTACTTAACATTCATTTCAAACCTTTGGCAGAAGTGTTCTTTTTTCTGTTCTAAGTTTTTTTTCTATATACAGGAGGAAAGAAGAAGTATATGCTATGTCTGTAGTTAGCCAACTGGTTGCCCGGAGCAAACAATCACGATGAGGACATGGAGCAGTTCAGATTCAGAAGGGGCTGGCTATTTCTCAATATCTGGCAGAGGTTGGATGATGAGACTACATCTGCCAAATTTAGTTAATGGCTGAGAGGAGGTCCTTAAAAATTTGTTTAATAATGGTAGAGGAAGGAGGTCTTAAAGCCAGCCTACATTTTGCAAGGCTTTTTAACAGGCCTGAAACAGTGTTAAACCATTCCCTTACAACTAACCAACTGTAGAAGAATCAACAACTTCATATTGTACACCCAAACAGTGGATTTGATATGGAGATGCAAAGTGGCCCTAGTACCATTTGAAAGGGTAGACTGCAATTTACATAAGCAGCTTTCATAATAAATGTGAACTTCAGAATTAATAAATTGAAAAGTATTGTTTGTGGAGTGTGGACACCAAGCTCTGTATAACCATTAAATATCAAAATGCCAAATGAGTAAAGACAGAATACATGACTTCAAAATGATGGTTGAATTACTTAAAAGCATCCTGAGAAATTATGACTTTTCATTCAAGTCTACTTCACCAGAATGTGGTATGAATTCTGATCTACCATAGTAGTTCAGATTATGTAACACCTTAAAATGAACAAGTGCCAAAATTGTTTTATAATGATGTGATTAGACAAAAATAGATGCTGAACCAAAAGAGGACTTGCGAGGAAGGGTAAACTAGAGTTTGGTCGGAGGTGGAGGGTCATCATGAAAGGAAGAAAGATCCAGTCTGGCTGCAGTAGGGCTTAATGGAGATCTCAACTGACTATTACTCTGTTGAAATACCAGAGACCTTGTTTAATTGACACTGCTGGTGCTCTGATCTCTACTGTCAATTTCATAATATATATTCGCACAGGATTAAGAGGTTTCAAGTGCTTACCATTTCTGTTGTTGATATTTTAAAGGGTCTGGGTGATTATTCACTTTTAATGGCCTGTTATAAAAAGCTTTGTTTTAATGAAAGAATATAATGACTGAAGATTTTTTTTTCAGAAACGTTTTACTGCCATTATAGTCTTCATTTCTCCCATATATACTGAGTGGGCATGGAAGTATGACAATCTGGCATGATGGATTGTATGTGGGAGGACATAGCCTGATATGTGAGGCTTGAGGGTGGTGTATTGGGGCATAGCCAGGCCTGGAGGATATGATGGAACATGGGAGCATGTTACTTTTCACAGATAAAAAATGAGGAATGTATTGAGTTTCAAGAGGTGAAGGCTAGAGGCCCTTACTTTCCTTCATTAAAACTGGACAAAGTCCCATAACACGGAGACAGGCCTTTTAAGTAGCCTGTCTCTGCAGCTGACAGCCATGTTGCTGCCTCTAGACTCTTTTCCAGGTCGGCTGACCTGATTGCATCTCTCACATGTCACTCGACAGTGAAGATCCAGTCATTCCTGGCACATTCTCATGAGATTGACAGGCAGAGCTGAGAATTTTCCCACCTCCTTCTACCTCATAGATAAAAATCCAGGTTTAAGTTTGTAGGTGTTGTAAGATATTCTAGACTTTATAGCTTGAACATTTACAGAATTGTTCAATCCCAAATAAATTAATCATTTGAGGATAAATTGAATTTGTTTCGCATAATTTTCCATTTTTCCACACAGGCCATGATACTTTTTGTGGATCCTAAATGTTTCTACTCTGAACTTTACCCCACTTTTTCAACCCTCTGTCATGATCCTGAAACTCTTGTCCGACGCACTGTTGCCACTGGCTTCCATGAAGTAAGTGTTTACTGCTAACTCTTCACAGTTTTGCTTTGTAGTTTAGGATGATGGTACAGAAGGATGACTTATGAAATGATATCAACAGCATCTTAAAATCAAAATCAAGCTTACTTTTAAAGCTGTAGTGGTTATCATGCCTCAGTATTCATCTATGCGTTAATGTTGAGAAACGTTAAGGTCAAGTCTAGCTAGGATAGTCTGCTGACATTCATCCTCAGTGCCGTAAGCATGACTATAGTCTCTTGTGCCCTTAATCAATTTCTTCAGAAGTGAAAAAAGGAGTAAATGAGGAATAAAATTGTTGGAATGTTACTACCTTCTGTCACTTTCTGACCTGCAATGATGTATTCAGAATAAACCCAACCAACAGAGTGCCTGACCTCTTTTTTTTGTTTTGGTTAGTGATATTGCTCTATCTATGTTAGCTAAGTGACTTTGACTCTGGATATGGTACAAACTAGGAAACCACAACTTCTTGGCAAGTGACTTTTTGGTTTCTGATGTGAATAATTGCAAACTCCTTTTATAGGCTGAGAAAAAAAGCTTTCTCAAGTCAGACACAAACAATGTTTGCTTCACCAAAGCCTCCAGCACATAGTACGACACTAATTGCTTCTTACTTAGATAGATGGAAGTAATTGTTGTGAAAATAAAGTAGTCACCTCTTGAAGCTTTCAAGGCCAGAGAATAGTTGAGAAACAAAGGGGAAGATAAAACATTCAACCTCAAAGTGAATGATTAAGTCATCCAAATATAGTTGCTTAGAAACATTATATGGAATACAATGACTTGACACTGGAAATTTCATGATAACTGGGCTCCCTTTTCTCCTTTTCCATGAGAATACTGCCTTTTTCTGGTGAGCTGCTCAACTCTTGGCTGTATGAATTTTCCTTTCACTGGTATGTGATAGCTGTAGTAAGGTGAACCATTGCATCTCCTCATTTGAAGCATGGAATTTAACTTCAGGCAAACTTATACTAGTGTGTTTCTTGGCAGGAGGGCACTTGAATGTGGCATACTGGTAAAGTTTCCTTTTCAACCCTAAGTGACATAAATTTTAAAAAATGGTAAAACTTACAAATGAGACATACTGGTAACTTGTCTTGTATATCAGTGTGTTCATTTCCAAGTATTACTTTTATTTTTCCCCTATGACTTGTTGATAGAACTCAAAATACTTTATTTCTGTGCTCAGGTGGTGTGCCCAGCATCCTCATGATGCCCCTTATCACAGTTGCCAGACTTTGGCTAAAATAATTCACTCCATGTGATGTAAAGAAACAGCTGAGTGTATTCCACATAGCAAAACGCCTATAGATCTTCACAACATCTCAGTGAAAGTGCAGAGAATATTCTCCAAAATCAACTGCATCCGTAATCAAATTGCTCTTGTATAACTATAATTTAGCATCTACCTGGCAAAGTGAAAATTGCCAAGATATGTCCTATTTGCAAAAAATGCAGTATAAACCCAAAGCAAAAGTCACTGCCCCAGTAACCTACTTTTAATCATCAACAAAGTAATGGAACGTATCATTAACAATTCTATACTGTGACACTTACACAGCAATTACTTGTTCACTGCCTAAATTAGGGACTGTCAGGGTCACTGGGCTACAGATCCTATTTAACCATTGATTCAAACACAAAACAATAGACCTGATTCCACAGATGAGATATGCGCCTGCAAAATAGAAGCAGAAGTAGATTGTTCAAGGCTGCTTCGCCATTCAAAAAGATCACAGCTGATCTGTTTGAGTTTTAAATTCCCTATTTCCATCTATCCCTGATAATCCTTACCCTAACAAGAATCGTTTCACTTGTGTCTTAAAGATATTTAATTACCCCACCTCACTATCTTAGGAGTTTGAGGTTTTCACTATAGCCATAAGATCATCTTGCATGAGTTTTCTTTATTTGTGCCATAGAGATATGAAAATTATGGCTAAAAATGTTTGGGTAAACATTCCAAACTATTTCTGTCACATTTAGATGTTATCAAACTCTCAAATTTGCTTCTGATGGCTCTTTGACAGCACTAATTTTCACCACCAGAAATCAAGACTTGAACCCCAATGTATCCAGATCATATCTGCAATAATCTTATCTGTGATTCATACTGGAATTTTGTATGTTGTGTTTGCCTGCATATTTGCATTTCTGCAAGAGTCAAATTCACTTGTGGCACCGCCTGCAGCTGAACCTGTAATTCTCATTGTTGAGATTCATGCACTGTTATTTTTTGAATGCATGCCAGCCAAACGTTAACACATTTAGTATGATTTGTTGGGAAAGAAATCATAAAGGAAAGGGAGGTGGGAACTTGAAGAAGTATATGAGGAAATTCCAGAGGTCAGGACCAGAATGATTGAATGCACAATACCACTGGTGGAGAGAAAGAATTTCAGGATGCACAATAGGCCAGATTTTGAGGAATGAAGGGATGTAGGACTGAAATTTAGAGAGAGGGTGGACAAGTTCAACCAAGTAATTTTGTTTTGTAAAGTACTAATGTTTAATGGATGTTTGTGATGGTACTATGGCTTTAAGAGGTGTATTTTGTCCTTTTTTTATGAAAAGAGGTTGAGACAGAGGTGTTGAACCGTATGCTCAAAGCCAATAAAGTGAACAGCTTGTGAGGCCTTGGGTTTTTTTAAAAAGTTGGAACAATAGAAGCAGTTTAAATGGGTGGGGTCAAGCTCCCACAGAGCCAGGTTTTATAATTTAGCTTTCAGTAGCAGTTGCTGAAGTCTTGAAGCTGGCTGTGGAAGCTGTATTTCTTTCTCTGTTACAGCTGAAAGCTGGGGTTCTCTTCCTGCTGCTAGAATTGCATGTGAGACAATCTATTTTACTGAATTTTCCTTTGGCAAGGCTGTATTTCTGGGATGTTACTATATTAAGCAATTAATTAGTAATCATTTATATATATTATTTTGTTACACATTTTGATAGAGTTACAGTTAAGCCAATTCTTTTCTTTTTTACTTTGATTGTATTTTTAACTTAATGCAGAAGTGTGTTTTGCTAAAAGTCGAGTAGTTTGACCAAATTGCATCTGAAATACAATGCACTTACCTTTAAAATAAGAAAAAGTTAGGATCCAGGCTATCTTCTTAATATATTTTGAGGGGCTTTGGTCTGGTCCATAACAATGGTTACTGTGATTTTAGAAATGTTTATCTTTCCTGTTAGAAAACTTATACTGTTTAACTTTCCACAAATTCTTCAAATTGATTAATTTGTTACTTGAGTGAAATATACTTCAACTGGGTTAATGTGTAATGTTTTGTGAATTTGTACTTGTAGGTCATTAAGCTGCTAGGCTCCAGTGTTCACATAGTTCACAAAGAACTGATTGCGCTTTTACAAGATGAATCATTAGAGGTAAGGTAAATAGCATGTTATGAATTTAACATAAAAAATTGTTACTCTCCCATTTTTCAAATTTTTTTTGTTTTTGAAATTTAGGTTTTCTTTCCATTTCTACCCTACAGTTTTCTTTCAGAATTGCTACAGATCCCATATTTCATTTGTGGCCTGTCTTTATTGGAAAACTCATTTGTACACCAAGAAATTGGCATATGCCAACTCATGCGTTAAAAATTGTGTCCCGTATTCTGACTTTTCTTGATAACAACTTTCACAAATATGTATTTTTCTAAATTTTGTGTAAATTGAAAAGGAAAGGATTTGCATTTTATAGCACCCTTCTCACTTTTGGATATTTCAAAAGATATACCACCAATAAAGTACTTTAGAAATGTAGTTACTGTTACATTATTGGAATGTAGACAAAACAGACTTTATTACTGGAAGGTGGTAGTGGTGTCCTAATCCAATTTCTGTTTTCTTCTCCACACTAGAGACTTTAGGTCAGTTCACTAGAAGTCACCTTTCAGTCACAGGACAGATGGAGAACTGAGCGTGACATTTTGATATCAGTTGATCAATGGTCTGGATCAACACCTGATAAAAGGGTACAAGTAAAGTCGAGGACAGCCTCTGGGGTGCACCACGTTGACTGGAAGTCAACTCGGTGTTGGAATTTGACTACTGGCATAAAAGAAATTACAGAATGTGTAAAGGCATATTCAGTAGCAAAGATGGAGAAAGAAAAGGTGTTTGGCTGCTTTTTTTAAAAAAGGCAAGCAAATGGATTAAAATGGGCACATTGTGATGCGTAGGTTCTAGGAAAACAAACTGAGTGAACTGCAAACAACTATTTCACAGGAAGGTCTAGGTTAGCATTAAAAGAAACCTGGCTGCAAAGGAGCTATGAATGTAAATTATATATTGTGATTATGTGGTTAGAACAGACAGAAAAATTAAGAATGGAGTCAGTGATATATTGCTAAAGAAGAAATAGATGTGGGAAGGAATGAAATGAACAAGAAAGAAATGCAAATAAATGGGGAACTTTGTATAAATGGGCTGATATCCGGGTGAATACGTTTGTTAAATAAGGATCTTGAGTAGAAGCTTGGACAGTGGGATGTATTTGCAAGGGTTAGAATGGTACTTCATCAATGTTCAGATATCAAAAGTGATCTCTGAAAAGATTTATTTTCTCCATTACTAAAATTGCCCATCTGAAGTCACAAAGTTGCACAGGAAATTATCATATCTTTGATCAGCCTGTTTATCTGCCTATGTCTATAATGTAGGATACTTCAGCATGGCTTGAAATATAATCTGACTGATCATTCAAAAAGCATCAACCCAATAAAGCTTGAAAATCTCAATTATTTCTCTTTTACTGAAGATAACATACATTGTCAAACAGAACAGCTGTATCTCCATTTTAGTCTGGGTTTTTATTCCTAGGAGACTGTTACTGCATCACTTTAGATTTTAATAGGAACATAATAAACCAAGCCTCAACCAAAGCACCCTTCAAAATGCTCAAAAGATCTAAAATGTAAAATTTCCATCAGATATTCCCAAAAAATATTGTGTTGTGCGATGTTGTGTTCCTGAAAATTCTCATAGTAGCAATTTCTTTCTTGTTAAAATGTGGTTTGAACTATGCATACCTTGAGAATTCCATATAAAATGAACGTGGACAATACTGTCCTAACTAGAAAGTTTCTTCTTGCATTAAGGAAGACTTCTGAAAGGGTTATTTTAAGTCTCAGTAACTACTACATGGTAGATCACCCTAGTGATAAGATTGTGATGATTATCTTGTGAAAGGAGAGTCTGTTGATTTGCATGAAAAATAAAGCATCAGAGTTATTAATGACATTGAGAGGTTTTTTCTCCTATTGCAGGCTCACTTCACACTTGTCCAAATACAATTTAGTATTAATTATCAAGGGTGGTTCAAGGATATTGCATTCTTGTAAAGTCAGTTAAACAATAATGTTCCAAGTAACCTTGTTGATTTTTTAAATCTAAGGTTAATGATACGGTTATGTTATGTATTTAATTAAGCCCAAAGGCTCTTGCAAGGTAAAATATTTAACTAAGAGAACTGGAATTAGCTTTACACTCTTCCTATCTCTCAAGAATTCAGCTTTAATTTCTTCTTGTCAGCAGGATTATTGAAACAAACCAGTTATCTGCCTGATATGGGAGATGGAAAGTGTCCAAAGTCTATATGAATTTTTTTTTATTTTAAAGATTTGGTGTAGTTCATCAAAGTTTTGAAAGAAAATCCCTCTGTATTTTCCTGTCTTCTACTTAATGATTTGATCAGTAGCATAAAGTATCAGTTGTAAAGGATTTTGGGAACTAAAAATCGGATAACATTTAATTAAAAGCAATAATGGTACAAATACTGAAGTCTGGTGATGATGCAACTTAGAGAAATCTGCTTAGGGCTCAATTTCAGGTTCATAATACATACCTTCCTCAAGCATACTAGACGCTGAAGTCTTCATGTCCTTTAGAAAATTGCTACCTTTTCTACTATTTAACATTGACAACGGTTAACACTACTTAACTTATTTAGAGACACCCCTGTTCAGATAATTTAACTAGCTGTAAATAAATAATACTAAGTACATAAAAAAATTACTGTATAATGAAAAACTGATCTATGTCTTTTAATTATCAAACAGCTTGTCCAAAGTTCAGAACTGGATGAGCAGACATATGTTCCAGTTAAATACTGGGAAGATCATAGAAAAGAGAAGATTTGATGGCTCTAGTTGAATATTTTTATTAAATGAGTCACTGACAATATTAAATAATTTACCTCATTATGGTTGACGCAACTTAATCTTGTTTTGAGCAATGATGACCTCTATTTTTAAAAGTGTACAATCTGTGCTTATACCAAAATGTATGTCTACGCTTTGATCGCAGTATCTGTGGAATAATCCCTTTTACAATTTTGCTATAATTTACTCAATGCTGTATGCTGTGTAACATTTATGCCGTATAACAGCATGATTCATTGTTTTGCATATCTAGGTATTGGATGCACTTCTAGATCACCTTCCAGAAATTCTTAGATGTGTCATCACAGGAGGAGACCACGTAGGATCAGAGAGTAAGGTAATGTCTAAAACTGCTGATGTTTTAGAACTTGCTGTAATTAAAATCCTTTGTCTCTAAAATATCTCTTCCTATTGTGACTAATGAAAAAGTCCAACAATAATTTTGATGAGCATGAGGAGCCAAGAGATACAGACGGGTGGTGAAAAAGCACATGAATACTTTGAATCTGTCTTTACCAAAGACACGGATGCAACCCAGGACAGATGACAGAGTAGGTAAACTCTGTTACCTATAAGGGTTTAAAATTGAAGCATTAGATGAACTGATGATACGTGAAAAGGCACTGGAATTGTATGAGATGCATCTGATGATATTGAAGGAAGTGAGATTAGAAATTGTGGGGGTACTAGTCATAATCTTTCAGTCTTCTCTAGATTTCTTGTGAGTTGCCAGAAAACTGAAGAATTGCAAACATTATGCCCTAATTAAAACAAAATTGTAAGCACAAGCCCAGCAATTACAAATTGGTCACTTTAACTTCAGTGGTGGGGAAGATTCTTGAAACAAGTATTCGTGATAGATTTAGTAGTAATGTGAAAACATTGGGTTGATTAGGAAGAGCAGCATGGATTTCTAAATGGGAAATTATGTTTAAATAATTTGATGGAGGTTTTTGAAGAGTCAACAGAAAGGGTCTATGAGGGTAATGCAACTGATGTCACCTGCATGGACTCTCAGATAACTTGTTCCTCACGCAATCAATAATAACATGGAAACAAAATTGGCTGAGTAATAGGAAACACTCCATGGATATTTCTCGTGCTGGAGGAAGGTTTTTTAGTGGAGTTCCCCAGGGGTCAATATTTGAAACCTTAATTTTCTTGATGTATATTAATGGTCCAGGTCTTGATGTATGAAGGACAATTTCAAAGTTTGTAAATGATATGACACTTGGAAGTATTGTAAACTGAGGAGGTCAGTGTAGAACTTCAAAAGAACATTGAAAAGTTTGGTGGAGTGGGCATATAAGCATATTATACAGGTTGGATTCCCAGTTGAACCATTTTTCCAGCAGTATACTCACTCAGCTTTCATCTCACTCTACTGAACTCTCCTGCACACTAATTGTACACTTAACTGATTGTGCACAGCAAAACTCCCTTTTCCATATGGATATGCCTAGAGTCACTATTTAGCTGCAGTGATCAAAAATTCGTTTAAACAAAGGAATTCAGGTGCTTGAATTCTAACGGCCACATCATGCAGCTGCTTCCTTTAAGTAGGTTAATTTTAACTTATTAAAAGGTTATTCTCCAAATCTGACTTTTAATTCTCAAAAATTGGAAAGAAAATGAATGCACTATCATCGAGTTTACAGATGCCATTAAAAACAGGTGGAACAGCAGGCAGTGTGGATGACACCAAAAGTTTTCAGAGGGAAATAGACAGGGTAAGTGACTGGACGAAAGTTTGGCAGATGAAAAATAATGCGGGAAAATGTGAGGTTATACACTTTGGTGGGAAGAATAAAGGAGCTGAATATTTATATGGCAAATGACTGCTGAAAACTACAGGACAGGGGGATTCAGGAGTCCTTTGCGTAAATCACACAAAGCTATCACCCAAGTTCAGCAGGTTGTAGGATCATAGAATCCCTACAGTGTGGAAGCAGGCCATCCTGGCTCATCGAGTCCATACTGACCCTCAGAAGAGCATCCCAACCAGACCCGCCCCCCACCTCCCTCGATACTATCCTTCTAACCCTGAATTTTCCATGGCTAGCCCACTAACCCTGGACACTATGGGAAATTTAGCATGGCCAGTCCATCTAGCCTGCACATCTTCGGATTGTGGGAGGAAACAGGAGCACTCAGAGGAATCCCACATGGAAACAAGAAGAATGTGCAGACACCCGAGGGTGGAATTGAACCCAGGTCCCTGGCGCTGTGAGGCAGCAGTGCTAACCACTGAGCCACCTTGCCGCCCCAGGAATGGGACAATAGGGAAGACAAATGGAATGTTAGCCTTGATTTCAAAAGGAAGGGAGATCTTGCCTATATCATACATGACACTACTCAGAGCATAGCTGCAGTACTGTGAACAAATTTGGTTCCCATCTCTAATAAAAGATATATTGGCATTGGAACAGTCCACAGAAGATGTACTATGCTGATGAAGAATCTATCCTGTGAGGGGATGTGGAGAGGGTGGTTGATTAGGTTGGATCTTTAATTATGAAGAATAAAAGGTGACCTTATTGAAACATACAAGATTCTTATGGGACTTGACAGGGTAAGATGTAGAAAGGTTGTTTTCCTTTGTGAGAGAGTCTAAGACCAAAGGGCATAATCTCAGAATAAAGCGTTGCCTATACAAAACAAAAAACGGAAGGAATTTCTTCTCTGTAGTTAGTGAATTTGGAGAATTATTTATCATGGAGGCCTATAGAAACTGGGTCTTTAAGTATATTCAAGCTGAAATACTCAGATTTTTAATCAGTAAGGGAATCAAGGATTATGGGGGAAAAGATAGGACAATGAAGTTGAGGATCATCAGATCAACCACGATCCCATTGAATGGTGAAGCAGACTTGCTGGGCTGAATGGCCTTCTTCGGGTCCTGCGTTTTATGGTCTAAGTACATACAGAGAAATGTAAGGTGATGCGTTTTGACAGGAATAACATAAGACAATTACAAAAAAGGGGAACGATTCTAAAAGGCAAGCTGGAGGACCTGGATGTATAAAGGTGATGGGACAAGTGCAGAGAGCAGTTAATAAAGTGTACAGTATCCTGGGCTTTATCAGAGTACAATAACATAGAGTGTAAGAGCAAAGAAATGATGCTGGACTTGTATACAACACTAGTTAGACTTCAGATGGAGTGTTTTGTGCATTTGAGTGTCACAACATTAGAAAGAACGCATAAGAGATTGGCGAGAATGTTTCCAGAGATGTGAAATTTCAGTAGTGTGGACATATTGGAAAGGTTAGGACCATTCTCCTTGGAGGGAAGAAGACAAAGAGGAAACCTGATCGATGCTGTCAAAATCGAGGGGGATCTTGACAGCAAACCATGAATTTGTTCCTCATTAGGAAAGGATCAAGAGCAAGAGGTCACAGATTTAAAGTCATTTGCAAAAGAAACAAATGTGATGTGGGCAAAAACCTTCTGTGTACAATGGGTGATTTGTTCTGAGTGCACTGCCTCAGAAGTGTGTTAGAAGTCAATTCAATTGTACCTTCAAGAGGCAGTGGGCAATCATTTAAATGGAAATAATGTGCAAGGGTACGCGAAAAAGGCAAGAGAATGGCACTACGTCATGATGCTCATTTGGAGAACTGGTGCAAACGTGATGGGCTGAATGATCTCCTCCTGCCCTAAAACGCCTGTGATTCTGAGTCATCATCCACTTATTGCCCATAAAGCAACATTACAATTACATACAAGGATTGTCAAGGTTAATAATGCCAGAAAGACTGTGTCTAGTATATAATTTACTATGCAGTGAATTAGTACAGTAATTTGCTGCTAAACAGTACTTTTGTAATCATAAAAATGATTTTGTTTGTTCTTGCACCTAAGTTTTGATTTATTGATATTGTTCTTTCTGCAGATTAGTAATGTAGAAATTTTTTTTGTTACCTACTGTTGTTTACTGTAGATGAGCACAGAACAGGGTAAAAGTGAAAATATTACATTGTTGTAAACATTTATATAATTTAAAAGAAAAAATTCTTACAAAAACTGAATTATCACGTAATCTTAATAACTCAGCCTGTCTCATACATCTTACTCAATTGCTGTCATCATGCTATACACCCTGTGGCATCCAAAGCAAAATGTCTCCACCAATGTGGAAATATACCATTGGCCTGTTTTCATACTTCCATGGAATATGCAGCCAGTAGATGTTGTCCATTGCAAATTATCCAATAGAAGGTAGTGATGAGCTTTCTTCTTGAATTGCTGCAGACTATCTGGTGTAGGTACATTCTACAATGTTGTTAAGAAAGGAAGTGCCAAGCAACAGTAAAGGAAGAGCAGTATAGTTCCATGCTAAGTGATGTATGACTTGAGGGGGTTCTTGCAAACCCTGGTCAATGTCATGAATTTGGAAAGTGCTTTTGAAGGAGGAAACAAAAACAGAAATTGCTGGAAAAGCTCAGCAGGTCTGGCAGCATCTTTGGAGAGAAATCAGAGTTAACGTTTTGGGTTGAGTGACCCTTGCTCAGAATGCTTTTGAAGGAGGCTTGGTTAGTTGCTGCAGCACATCTTATACAAGGACACATTGTTGCCACTGTGCACTAGTTGTAGCTGGGTACCAATTCTGCAGGCAGGTTTATCCTGGATGATGCAAGTTGAAAGTATTCCGTCATAGTCCTGAGTTATGCCTTATAGATGGCAGAGAGGCTTTGAGCCAGGATGTATGTCATTTGGTGCAGAATTCCTAGCCTCTGAAATACTCTTGCAGTTACAGTATTTAAATAACGGCTCGGTTAGTCTCTTGATTAATGATCAATTCCATAATGCTGTTGGGGGATTCAGCAATGCTAATGCTGTCAAAGGGAGAACTGGGGGGAAATGGTTAGGTTTTCTTGGAGATGATCTCATACTTGTGTGTCTCACATGTTACTTGCACCTCATAAATCAAAATGTGAATTTCCAAACCTTGCTGCATATGGACACAGTCTGAGGTGTCAATATCTAAGATATCATTAAGCATGCTGAACACTCTGCAATCCCTAATAAACATCCCCACTTCTGACCTAAGGATGGAGGGAAGATGGTGAGCCTAGGACATTACCCTGAAGAGCGCCCGCAGCCATGTCATACAACTGGAATGATTCGCCTCCAATATTCTCAACCATTTTCTTTTGTGCGAGGTATGGCTCCAATTAATGAAGAGCTTTCTCCACATTCCCATTTGCCATTTGCCTGCCCTTGACACTACGCTCAATCAAATGCTTTCAAGGGCAGTCACTTTCACCTCATTTCTTGAATTCATCTGTTTTTGTCCATGTTTAAATCAAGGCTGTAATGAGGTCAGATGCTGAGTGACCTGAAAGAACCTAATCTAAGCACCAGTAAGCAGATTGTTGAAGAGCTGTTTGATAGCACTGTTGCCAACACCTAATATTCATCAATAATTGGGAATAGATTGTTGGGGTGGAATTGGTCAGGTTGGGTTTGCCTTCTTTCTGTGGACAGGAATATCTAGACAATTTCCACATTGCTAGGTAACTGCCAGTGTTGTTGCTATACAGGAACAGTTTGTTTCAGGGTGCTGCTGGTTTTGGACAACAAGTTTCAGTGCTACTCTGGAAGGTTGTCAGGACCCATATCCTTTACTGTATTCAGTGCCTTCGATCATTTCTTGATATCTCAAGGAAGAGAAGTGAATTTGTTAAACATTGGCAAATTTGATGATGGGGAATTCTGGAGGGGAATAAGAAAGATCACCCATTCAGCAATTCTGGCTGAAGATGGTTACAAATGTTTCAGCTTGTCTTTTGTACTGACATTCTGGGCTTCCCATATTGAGGAGGATAGGGATATTTGTGGAACAAAAACAAAGTTGCTGGAAATGCTCAGCAGGTCTGGCAGCATCTGTGAAGGAGAAAACAGAGTTAACGTTTTGGGTCCGGTGACCCTTCCTCGGAACAATTCTTTTAGCTTTTTATTTTTAGTTTTTTAGTTTTTAGTTTTAGTTTTTAGTTTTTATTGGGAATATTTGTGGAACTGCCTTTTTTGTTAGTTGTTTAATTGTTCACCATCATTCACAACTGGACGTAGCACGGCTCCAAAACTTTGATCTGATTCATGAATTTTTGAATTGTTTTGCTTTACCTTCACATGCTACTTCTGTTTTGCATGCATGTAGTCCTATTGCCTTCCCAGTTTAGCACCTCATTTGTAGGCCTGGTGCTCCTCACTGAGTGTCAATCCTGTGGCATTATGGTAATGACAGAGTGAGGATAGCCTGGACCTTTAGTTTAAAAATTGCAGTCAAATAGAATTCTGTTGTTGTTGATAGTGCACAGTATTTCATGGATGCCAGATTTTAGGCTGTTAAGTCTGTTCTGAATCTATCCCATTTAGAACTAACTAGAAAAATATGACAATACAGTCTGTCCCAAAAGAGCACTATAATTCTAGCAAGACACTGTATAAACTAAGTAAAAGAATGGAATTATTGTATTCTTGAAGCATGTTTGCAGAGATTATATGGTTATAATGGCAATCTTACTTGTATATTAGGTATTATATCACTGAATGTGCAATAAATTGATTGTTTAGGCGAGATACGAGGCATCAAATTAATAACGTTGTAAATGTACGCACGTAAAGTTTGGCTTTTTCCAAGTGTTTGTGACCATATTATTTTAACTGGAAATTCTGTTACCAGGTACATATTCCTGACCTGATTCCAGCACTTTCAGTAGCTGAGCAGAGAGCTGCCACTTCTTTAAAATGGAGAATACATGAGAAGCTATTGTTGACGTTTTCCTGTCTGCCGCAAGTCATTTCAAGCGATCAGATATACTACAAGTTCTTACCAATAATGTTTAGAATAATGACAACAAATGTAAGATCTATCTCTAATGTAATTTTTAAGCATTTAAAATAACAAGCAAGCTGTGTAACTTGAGGTACTAATATATCCATTGAAAAGGAATATTTTTCCAAATTGCTTGAGTTTGTTTTGTAACTATATATGAAGCATAATTCCTAAGTAGTGTACAATTCATTTTGTTTTTTTTAAATCAGCAATGTGTTCACAATTTTTGACCTTATCCAATCAAAACATGCTGTTGGTACATACTGTTGCAAATTTACATGCAGCCTTCAACTTATTAACATAATTTTTCCATCTCATTCTGACAACCAAATCCACATTTTTACTTTAAAGAGTAGTACTTTGGAGGTATTATGTATTCACTTTATACTTTTATCCTGTTTAAACAGATCTAATCCACTATAGCATATAAGGAGGCACTTCAAATCTGTAATTCTTTTAACAAATAGATTAATTATTCCCGCACGCAAATGTCATTTAGATTTTTGAGAAGATTTGTAGCTCGGATTGTTGATGCGGTTGTTGACTTGTTTGCTGAGCTGGTAAGTTTGTTTGCAGATGTTTTGTTACCATGCTAGGTAGCATCATCAGTGTGCCTCTGGTGAAGCATCAGTGTTCTGTCCTGCTTGTTATTTGTGTGTCTTGGTTTGCTGGGGTGGGTTGCATCACTTCTGGATTTGTTTTTTAGTGGTTGGTATGTGGGGTCCAGCTCTACGTGTTTGTTAATGGAGTTCCAGTTTGAGTACCAGACCTCCAGGAATTCTCGTGCATGTCTTTGCTTGGCTTGTCCTAAGATGGCTATGTTGTCCCAGTCGAATTGGTGTCCCTCTTTGTCCATGTGTATACCAATTCGACTGGGACAACATAGCCATCCTAGGACAAGCCAAGCAAAGACATGCACGAGAATTCCTGGAGGACTGGCACTCAAACCGGCACTTCATTAACAAGCATATAGAGCTGGACCCTGCATGCCAACCACCAAGAAACAAATCTAGAGGTGATGCCACCCACCCCAGCAAACCGAGACACATAAATAGCAAGCGGAACAGAACATTGACGCTTCACCGGAGGCACACTAATGGTGTTACCTAGTATGGTAACAAAACATCTGCTAACAAACTCATCAGCTTGGTGAACAAGTCAACAACTGCATCATTTAGACCTCCAATGTATGCTTCAAATGTCTAATTTAAAACGAGGTATCAAATTATTCCCTTTTTCTGTTGTTTAAGTCTAGGCTCTGGCATTGAACTATCACTTTTAGGATTTAGAGTGTAAAAACAGCATGCATTCCAGTTGTCTCCTCCATTTATGTCAGCAATATTTATATTTACTATTTTTTGTTTGCTTTATTTATATCAGAAGATATAAGACCATTCTTTAAACATATCATTGTTTGACCACTAAATTATTGGCTCGGATTTTCCAATGACTAGTTGTTATTCCAATGTTGATGGGAGTTGCACATGGGGTCCCTGCAAAGTTATCATTGTAACAGAGTCAGGATTTGCCCAGGAACATGAAGATTATCTGGGTAATTCTGCTACGTCTGGACTCTTCTGAAAATATCCTTTTAAATCAGAGAATCCAGAGCATCCAATGAAATTAAGTAAACAGTTGTTCAGGAAAAGTTAGACTATTAAGCACATAGTCTACTACCAACTGACTTCATACTTAGCTCAGATACCCCTAACTAACCTCTCCTGGACCACTTACACACTCCCACTACCTCCCATTACCTGATAATCCCTCTATCCCCAGGGCCCAACATCCCCCACCCTGCCACTGAACATGATACCCCTTTCCTCTGTTCTGCACCTGATCCCATTCACCACCGCCCGAGACCCAAAAGCCCTACCTTCACGCACACCATATTTGACCACTCGCTGTTCATCCATCAGGACCCGAACTCCCTTCACCTAATGGAACTGCCTTGGCCACTCTTCGCTTGGCCCCGATGGGCCTGTTTCTCCCATCTAGCCTGACCTCCCATCACTCACCTAACTACCTTCTACCTTACCCACTTGGCATCCTACCCCTGCCCATATGGTATCCTGTCCACTGTTCTTCTCTCAAGCCCCTCTAAAACCAGGCACCCTGTCCCCTATCCATCTGCCACCCTACCCTCCTGGCACCCTAATCTCTCACTTTCTTTTTGTACTTGCCATTTGACAACAGCTATCAAATTGGTTGTCTGTGATTCTGGACCTTAAAATTTCAGAATACAGCAGCTGACTGCTGTGAAAACTGAGCATGCTCTCCCCATCAGTTGAAAACTTTATTTAAGAGTGTCTATGTGCAGTACCTTTGATGTCAATGAATTGTTATATGACCAATTTGTTACATGACCGTTTTTAAGGTAATGCTAATTCTGATAACACTAAAGTTCAGGTTGGGATTATTATTATTATCTAGAATGTCCTCCCAGTCCAAAGAGCCTCAGCCAGAACCCTCTGTGTATTTGTTCGGTACAACCGTAAACAGGAGCAAAGACAGGAAATATGCAGTAAACTCGTTGAACGTAAGTATCCTTTTAAAAGCAAATGTAGTAGTATAAGTTGTAGTCTCTGTGGATTACTCCCTCAGAACTCAGCATATAAATCCCAGTGTAATGCACAGCAAACCACAAATCTTCCGATTCCAATGCACTATATCAATAAAAAAGTACGAAGTACCTTTATTTATATAGCATCTTGATAACCTTGGAGTGTTTCAAAACACTTTACAACCAATCAAGGAATTCTAAAGTGTAGCTCTAGGAAACGTGGTAGCCAACTTCTGCATGGCAATCTATTACAGACTGGAGTGAATTAATAATCAATCAATCTGTTTTATTGATGGATAAATATCACTGAAACACTAAAAGTCCTTCTGATTTTCTTTGAATAGCACTATTGAGTATTTTTTTAACCACCTCCCAAGGGGCTGGCTGGGCTTGCTTTTAACTTTTTTCTGAAAAAAGCCATCTTTCTCAATACTGGTCAAAAGTGTCAGCCTAGATTATGCATTAAAATCTCCAGAGTGGGATTTGCATTCAGAACCTTTTAACTTAAAAGCAAGGAATCCTAGCACTGAGGCATTTTTAGTTATACAAAATCTTTTAAACCATTAGCTCTGCTATAAACACTGAACAAAAGTTGTATCATGCAAGTGAATAACATAAACACAGAGAAAATTACTTACAAGTTAACTTCTATTCTCATTGTTAGGGAACCAGAACTGCAGAAGCAGTTAGAATAAGCTCTAGTCCCAAAGAACTTTGTATTTTTATTGATGTGCAAAAGAGGTTTGTATTTGTTGATGTAGAAACCTGTTCGCCTGCGTAGTGCAATTGGGTTAAAAAATCATTTGGATGATACGATATCCTTTTGACTCCTATTTGCTTAATCAAAACATTAGTAACATTCATAACCGAATAAAGAGAGATAAAGGCTAACATTAGCAACAGGCTGGGGAGATTGGCGTAGTAACATGGGAAGGCATCCAGGGCTGCCTGATATTTCACTGCCGCCATACCATTTTTCCAGTGGGTGGGAAATATATTAAATTAGTACCCCGTGAGATGTAGGACACTTCTTTCCTTTGTGCGGGGAGAAAATCCTGTGAAATCTGGCAGGCTGCATTAGCGAGCTTTCCTTTTTGAGCGCAGGGGTGTCTCTGATGGCAATGGTTATTCCTGTGGCAGTTGCACCTTAGCTAAATTGACAGTCTTCAAAACATACCCACCACTTCCCTCCCCTTTCAATACTACTACCACCTGATTCCTGGGACTTGTCTGTCTGTTTACAACAATACCGTTACTTTTTTTGTGGACAGCTGGTCATTGAGACCTCTCCCTCTCAACTTCAGCTTCAGCCATGGCCAACTAGCAGGCCAGCAGCTCAAGAGGGTAAGGCCCACCACCAGCCAAATACAGGGTGGCGGAGTAACCTCCTGCATTCAGACCAGGCATTAAGAACTTTGCACAGCTGTAAAAAATTAGCCCAAGATCTTGTGTTTCCATACTGTGGATCTGGTTTTAGATACTACGTGGCATTCCATTCAGCGCACTTCACGATCTAAAGAAAGGCAATATGCTCTGTTAATTAACTTTCATAGAATCCCTATACAGTGTGGCAGTAGGCCTTTCGGCACATCGAGTCCACACTGACCCTCTGAAGAGCACCCCCTTACCGACCACCTTACCGTGTCCCTGTAACCCTGCATTTCCTATGGCTTAATCTACCTAACCTGCACATCCCTGGACGTAATGGGCAATTTAGCATGGCCAATCAACCTAACCTGCACATCTTTGGCCTTCTCGATTAAAAACATGAACCTGTCTTTTGAATAAAGTGATCCATCATTGCCTTCAAGTAGTAGGATGGATTGCATAACACTTGCCTCAAGTGCTGCAGATTAACTGCAATTAGGGCACAATTGAAAGGTCCAGTTGCATTGATCTGGTCAGACTTACGAAAAACAACAGAATTTTCAAACCATCCTTGACTTTGAACTGCAATCCAGCTATCAAAACAGTAATGAATAGACTAAATGATTTAAAGGCTTACTAAATACCTAAAATATCTTGCACTGTTAGGACAAGGAATACAGTGGCATTGTAGTAATGTCACTGGGCTAGTAATCTAGAACTCTAGGCCAGTGTTTTGGGTGCATTAACACGGGCCATAAGCATTATTTCTGCAAGGTTGATTTGAATGAGTTATGTGTCCAAAATTTGTTTCATCTCTCGTCAGTGCATAAACACCCAGTGCTGATTTGATAAGGGACTACTTCTTCGCAACCTGTAACTATAAAAAAAAACCTGTTGAATTTGGCAAATAATAATTGTGATTAATGAATCCATACCTTTGATTATTTCCTGAAAGAAAGTTTGCCTGTAACTGACATTAGATTAATGATTGTAGTTAGAATATTTATTCTTCCCTCCTCTTAAGCAAAATGTTGCATTGGCTACTCTCCAGTCTTCTCAAATAATTTGTAATCTGAAAATTATTAGGAAATATTGTCATCAGAACTACTGCTAGTTCGTTTTCAGACTTGATTCTGCAAGTCAAATATACTAACTTTTATTTTGTTCTGTTAATTTTTTCAAAATCAAACTCCTTTTTTCTGATTATGTTAAAGTTATATCATATCTTCCCTTCATATCTCTTTCTGACCTCATTCATGGTCACCAAAATCATATTTATTTAATGCACATCTTCGCCATACTATTTTCACATTATGATAAATTCTCCCATTATCCGTCAGTGATCTGACTACTTTTCAAGACAATTTACTTTCTACATAATTATAAAAGCTCATTATTTTCTTTTATATTATTACTACTGTTAAATCAGGCCTTTTCATCTCGTTATTCCACTTCTGCTATTCCTAATTTTGTTTCACATTATTGACCCCAGTTACATCATTGGTAAATTTTGGATTAGCGTTAATATCTACTTGGTCAAGGAATTCTATCAATTGTGTTTTTTTTCTTCATTGTAAGTACATATATTTTTAGTTCTTAAATTGATCTGCAAAAACAGCAAGGGTGAAGTGAGGAAAATTGTTTTCAATCAGCAAGTTCCTGTAAGTGTGGTGATGCCGGTTCAATTGAGCGAATCAAGAGGACTTTGAAAGATTATTTGGATAAAAATGATGAACAAGGATATGGGGAAGTAAGAGATTGGCCCTAGGTAATGGCTCTCATTTAACAAGCCAGTGCAGGCACAGTGTGCACAATTCTCCTGCTGTGCTATAACACCACTGGGATTCTGAGATTATCCACCCCATTTTAATTTGTGATCCTACCAATTATTTTGCCTTTACAATTTGAGCTTTTCCATCTTCCTGGATTTTATCTTTTTTCATGCCAACCCCATTATCTTTAACTGTTCGTCTTATTTAACCCAGGCATAATGTAAAAAAGTAATCATTCCACTTCATTTGCTAACATTACATCAAGCTGTGTTTCCTTCTAATGCAAGAGAACCAGTGCAGACCAGATGAACTGAATGGCCTCTATCTGTGCTGCAACAATTCTGTGTTTCCATGTTGAAATAGAAGCATCTTCTAGTAACTAGCCTCAACCACTCAAAGAATGATTTTGCTACCTTAAATTATTTTTATCCCAGTATGTCTTGTACAATTACCCATTCAATTGTCTTTTTGCCCCTGCTGTTGAGATTTACCTCCAATGTTTAGTCGTCTGTCATAAATATTTGAAAGTTGTGCCATGTTCCTTCTCATCCCTTATCTGCATGAATTTGTTTTCGATGCGATTTCTTAAAAAAATCTTGCATTCTAAAACTGATTTAAAGAACCTTATGTCATCTTGTGCTCTCCTACAAACGTTATAATGAGAAATGTTAAGTCGTCTAAACCTTCATGTTGCAATGTCCGTTGTTAATTATTAATGCCTCTTGACCCTCCCTATTGCTATGGATGTTTTGTGAATTCATGTATTTGTCATTCAACTACCAAATTCTTTCCAATATTATTGTCTGCAATCTTTCCTATCATCAATTTGACTAATTACTTTTCTAATTTTTATTATTCTTTGCCATTTCTCACTTCCTTCTGTTTCCTTATCCTTTTTGGCATCCATCTCAGAATACTCACCTTTTCTTATCCCCTCAGACCCATTCCCCACTTCTGTAAAGAATAAATGATCGTGAGTTCTAACATTTTACCACACACAAACAAGGAAGAGAAGGTATGCCTGTCAATTATGATGACTGCAGCTTACTGTTATCAGCATATTTTTCAGCATTAAAAAACCCTGCATCAGTAATTAAAAAGGAAATTCCTGTGCTGTTGATCAGTTGGTTGAAAATACTATCTCAGCCCATTTTAGTTCATCCATCCAGAGTACAATGTGGTTCTCCATTGCAGCTTTCAATTATGCATTCCAATATATTCCAAAGTCTTCAAGTCTACTGCTCTATCTGGATTATGTTTTTCTTCTGAGTCATAGGATTATGGTTTCAAGGCCAACTGCATTCGATACTGGCACTGAAATAAGTGAGTGAACTTTTGGATCAGATCTAAAGAAGGACCTTGTTTACCGAATTAATTGAACTTAGTTGTTCAAATGACAGAAAAGCAGGGAAGTTCACTTTTTATCCTTGCCAATAATTATACGTCACTCAAAAAATGTATTACTTATCATTTTCTTCATTGTTGTTTATGGGAACTTGCTTTGCACTAATTGGCTGTGTTATACAGGTGAAAAGTGATTAATCAGCTGTGAAATTATCAGCTGTCATTAATCAACTGTGAAGTGTTTTGGGACGTTCTAAGAATTTGTCTATATAAATGTAATAAATATATTCATTAAATTTAGGTGTCTTCTTAAGTCATCTGCCCAAAGGCAGATGCAAGTCTGAATGCCACTACCTCCAGAATGGGTCCTTGGGAAGGGAGCCTTGAATCCATCCCCGTCAGAACAGGGATGGAACTACGTGCTGTTGGCACCAACTTAATCCACACCGCGTGATCAGCCAACTGGCTCCACAGAGAGGCTGAGTTGCTATGGCAATTTGTAACTTTTAAAGCATGCTGTATTCCAGAACAATTAATAGTGGTGGTAGAGGCTGCAATTTCTTTCTATCACATGACTAACCAAGAATTCTCCCAATCTTATTAGCTGCCACTGGTATATGTTGGAAGAGTTTATAGGTTGACGGTCAGTCTGTTTAGCCAAGTAATGAACACATCGTTGTTGGCTATTAAGTCCTGGAATGTCAAGCTTGAAGTTTCTGGCTCAAGAGTAGGGAGGCTCCCTCTGCACCATGAGACAACCTCTTCTTAAGTGTATGGAGCACAATTTCAAAATTGCAGATAACAAAAGAATTTTGATGTGTTTTGAACTGAGATGAGAAAGGATATTGACAGGACAACTGACTGTATGAAGTGATACATTTTGGTAAGAAGCATGAGGAGAGGCAGTATAACATACAGGGTACAATTGAATGAGCTGCAAGGACTGAGATGTTAGGGGTGGGTGATGTGCACAAATCATTGAAGGTGCCAAGGTAAGCTGAGAGGGTGCTGAAAAAGACATTTGGAAATCTGGGTTTTATAAATGGAGACATAGGACTATGTTTTCCCAGCCACTGAACATCTGGGCATTGGTAAGAAAGTTGGGATCATTGTGTGAGATTGGCAATAAGGAGATTTCCAATGTCAAATGTAAGAAGCCCCATTTCACAACAAGTTGTTGAAAGGCAAGGCAAGATTGTTGCAAAGGAGTGGTGAGAAGTTTATTTTCATGCATTAGTATCGTCTTTATTATGTAATCTTGCCTCATTGATATATAGTTTCCTGTTCTCCCACCAACTGGTGAGAAACTAGATGGCAACAGTTTCTGACATACCTGGTATCAGTTGAATGAAGCTTCTCCAGATTACCTCCATAGGTAACATATCTTTCATCAGAAAGGGAGTCCAAAACTGCTCACAATATTCCAGCTGTGGTCTGACTAGTCCCTTGTATAGTTTTAGCAAAATCTATCTACTTTTATACTCCATTCCCTTTGGAATCAAAGCCAACATCCCATTTGCCTTCCATTTTCCTGGTGAACTTGGATGCTAGCTTTTTGTCATTCATGGACAAGGACTTCCAGAAGCATGTAAAGGTTATGGGGAAGAGGTTCAAGAATGGTCAGGGATGAGTGAGTTCAGTTAGGATAAAAAAACATATTCCAACGTTTTGATTCCACTTACATTTCTTAGCTTCCATTCTTTCTTCTGACAGTCCCATTTCTGTTTTAGTACTAATTTATTACCTTTCTATTTAGTCTTCACTGTTTTTGTTTCTATGTAACAATCAACTCTACTTTTTGTTTCTACCATACCTAAATGATTTTTTTTAAGATTAGGAATGTATTCTACAGCTGATTAATCCATTACTGTGTACTTGCGAGCAGGTTTAGTGCATGATAATAAGTTGTACCTTTTAATTTTTTATTGAATGTATAAGTGACTTTTCACACCTATGTCTATGTCAAGTTAATGTGAAACTCCTTACCTGAAAAAGTCTGTTTTATGTGAACTACATGCAATGGTTACTCAACCTGTGAAATAGGTGCGGGAATTCATCCAATCTTAGATGTTCGATATTTGACCTTAGGGGAAGCAATGGCCTAGTGGTGTTATTGCTAGACTATTACTCCAGAGACCCAGGTAAGGATCTGGGGACCCGAATTCAAATCCCGCCTCGACAGATGGTGGAATTTTGAATTCAATAAAAATCTGGAATTAAGAGTCTAATGATAACCATTGGTGATTGTCAAAAAAACCCATCTGGTTCACTAATGTCGTAAAGGGAAAGAAACTGCCATTCTTACCTGGTCTGGCCTACATGTGAATTCAGACCCCAGAAGCCAATGATGACTCTTAAGCTGCCCTCTGGGGAATTAGGGATTGGCAAGAAATGCTACCTATTCTTACGTTGTTGTCATTATGCCAGAAGTGCTATTCGTGTTAGTGTGAAATGGGATCAGAAGATCTTTCAGTTAAAACTGAGGGCTGAGCAGATAACTTAAGGCTTCTGTTTAAACTAATTCTTGCTCTGGGTCATTAGTCACTCTGTTGGCTTTACTTCTTAGCTCTGAGTTGCAAGATTCAAGGCCCAGTCAGTACTCAAGCATTAAAATTAGGGCTGACACTCTTGTGCTCAGTTTTGAGGGTGTGCTGCACTGCTGGGCATGCCATTTCATAATGAGAAATTAAACAAATGCTCCATTTGCTTCTCAGAGTCATAACAGACCCCATTCTACTTCTTTGAAGAAGAGCATGGAAGTTTTCCCCAGCCCCTGGCTATTAGGTATTTGTCAAATAATAATATGAAAATAGATTTTATGGTCATTATCTTGGTGCTATTCCTGGAAGCTTACTGTGCACAAATTGGCTGCCACGGATCCAATATGCTAGCAGTGATTACATTTTGAAAGTACATTATCCTTTGGAGATGGACTTTGACAGAGTCATTTTGCTCTTCAATGTTTATTGCGCGCCACTAAGTTCAGCCCCTCATTTGTTTGTCCATTATGAACCTTCAACACGAATATCACTTTCTAACACTCTGGTAGACCAACATGTTATGTGGTAATTATTCTAATCATAAAATCACAGAAAATTTGTTGTAGAATGTGCTAGAATTTCATTATTTTTAATCATTATTGTAAGTGGTCTAGTAAAATTATTACCGAAGGCTTTAGCAGAACATTTTCTTTAATTGATATGTTGAAAAATTACTCAACATTTCTACCAGCATCTGTCACAGAAAAATTGGAGGAGAAATCTTTGGGGCTATATTTAATAGCCACCCAAAAAATCTTGAATGGTGCACATGTTCCTAAGATTTATTTCGTTCAGACAGGCATGATTTTGCCTGTATTCCATTATGTAGCATAGATGAAATTTGCCATATGTAAAGCTGAAGCTTGTCTTCCAGTTCTGGAAATACACAGTAGCTGAGTTAACGTCTATAAAGAGACAAGTTATTGGTGTTTTGGGTGTATAACTCCAAAGCATTTTTAAACTAGTGGGTTTTTTTTTCTTTACTTGTCCTGCTGTATCGTTCCACAATTTTCTGTTTACATTTCAAATTTCCCACAATTTTTAACACTTGACTGCTTATTTGTAATGTGGGTATTTTCTAACAGAAGCAGAGACTAATGAAACCATAAAATATATTGCACTTTAAAAAAGACCTTTTATTCCATTAATTAAACCATTATACTTTTTTTTTCCAGAACTTGGTCAAGGAAAAAGTTGTTGGAACAGGTTAAGGTTTCTTGACACTTGTGAATGCATCATGGATCTGTTTTCAAAAGCTTTCTTCTGTAAATACTTTTTCCTGCCTGTACTTGAACTTTCAAATGATCCTGTTCCAAATGTAAGGTGAGTAGATTATCAGTATAACACTACATATTGTATGCCTTTTGCTTGGTACCATTTTCTAAGGATTTTTAACTGCAAAAGAGAAAGGCACACTTTACAATGTTTGAGACAATCTGGTAACAATGTCAGAATTTCTATCAGTTGTAGAAATAACTACCTTCTCCATATTCCCTTCTGTATCATTATGAAAATTATTTTTCACAGATGGTCTTTGAGATTATGAGAAGTGAAACTTATGTTGTTTCAACGTTTTAGAGTCATTAAAGTGTCGCACAAAATTTCAGGTTAATATGCAATGGCCAAAAATGAATTTGATGTAGTGACTAGTACTTGGTTCAAAACATTTTAGGGTAGAAACCTACATGTTTAGTGACGCTGGGCAGCGAGGCTTAAAACTTACAGAACCATTGAGAAGAGTTTTAACCTGCCTGGTAGATAGCTGGAAGAATTGCCGGTGTGGTCAGGTAGCCAGCAGAATCCCATCGAATGCCTTGCATAATTTAAGTAGGTTCATTGGTACAAGAGAAACCTCAGTGGGCTGACATTTGATTGTGTTAAAGGCAATTGAATTGATTTTCAACTCTAGATTTCACCTTTAGCTCTCAATGCTTTGGGTTTCCTGAGCTTCCTGGAGCTAACCAGGTAAAGCAAGCTGAGAGGATGTTGGGGATTGACCAGATTGAGCAGTTGACAATCAAGAAAATCTTTAAATACTGAAATCAGATTGGTTCTTCTTTGTCCAAGTGGAAGCATTGTCCTAAGAATGCACTTTCATTTCTTTGGAGGTGATTTCCAGTACATATTTAAGCATACCTAAGAATTAGGAGCAGCAGTAGACCACTTGGTTCCTTGACCCTGCTGTGCCAATCAGTAAGGTCATGACTGATCTGATTACTCCACATGCCTGTCTAATCCTGATAATCATTCACCCCCTTATTAAGAATCCGTCTACCAGTACCGGATAAATATTCAAAGTCTCTGCTTCCATTGCCTTTTGAGGACGAGAATTCCGAAAACTCATCTACTGTGGGGGGAAAGAAGTGCTCCTTTTCTCTGTCTTGAATGGGCCACCCCCAGATTTTAGACAGTGGCCCTAGTTCTAAGTTGTCCTACAAGAGAAATCATCCTTTCAATATCCACGGTGCCAAGGCCCATCAGTATATTCAGTTTCAATCCAAGTTGCACCGTACTGTCGCAACTCCAGCAGATACAATTCTTGCCTCTCCAAACTTGCTCCATTAGATACTCCTTTATTCTAGGTATTAATTTTCTAAACCTTCTCAAAATACTCCCAACACATTATCATCCTTTCGTAAAGTAGGAGATTGATGCACTTCAGATGTAATCTTACTAAAGTCCTTTGTAACTGCAGCATATGGAGTTTGATTTCGCAAAATGTGAGGTTTTGTATTTTGGTAAGATGAACAAGGACAGGATTTACACAGATAACGGTAGAGCCCTAGGGAGTGTTGTAGAACAGAGAAATGCAGGGATTCAGGCACATAGTTCATTGAAAGTTGTGTTACAGGTAAGTTGTGTCACAGGTAGACAGAGTGGTAAAGAAGGCATGTGGCATGCTTGCCTTCATTGCTCAGACCATTGATCTAGGAGTTTGAATGTTATGTTATGGTTGTACAGTACGTTGGTGAGGCTACTTTTGGAGCACTGTGTACAGATCTGGATGCCCTGCTTTGGAAGGATATGATTAAACTGGAGGGGGTACAGAAAAGATTTACAAAGCTCTTACCTGGACTGAAGGGTTTGTTATCCTTGCAGAAATATTTGTATCATCTAGAACTGTGGGTGAGGTGCCAGATGACTGGAGACTGGTTAATGTTGTACCTTTGCTTAAGAAAGGATGTAAGAAGAAACCTGAGAACTATAGACCGGTGAGTCTCATTTCGGTGGATGGTAAGTTGTTGGCAGTGACTCTGAAAGGTAGGATTTATATGCATTTGGAGAGGCAAGGAATGATTAGGGATAGCCAGTATGGTTTTGTGTGAGGGAAATTGAGTTTTTTTTCGAAGAAATAACGGCACAGTGGCTCAGTGGTTAACACTGCTGCCTCACAGCGCCAGGAACCCGGGTTCGATTCCAGCCTTGAGCGACTGTCTGTGTGGAGTTTGCATGTTCTCCCCGTGTCTGTGTGGATTTCCTCCAGGTGCTCCAGTTTCTTCCCACAGTCCAAAGATGTGCAGGCTAGGTGGATTGACCATGCTAAATTGCCTGTAGTGTTCAGGGATGTGTAGATTAGGTGGGTTATTGGGGGATGGGTCTGGGTGGGATGCTCCAAGGGTCGGTGTGGACTTGTTGGGCTGAAGGGCCTGTTTCCACATTGTAGGGATTCTATGATTGTATGATTAATGAGGGCAGAGTAGTAGAAGTTGTTTACTTGAGCTTTAGTAAAACCTTGGACAAGATTTCACATGGTAGACTAATTAGTAAAGTTAGATCACATGGAATTCAGGGTGAGTTTGCCAATTGGCAACAGAAATGACTTAATGGCAGGAGACAGAGTGATGGTGGAGTGTTGTTTTTTGAACTGGAGGCCTGTTACCAGCAGTGTTCCACAGGGATCAGTGCTGGGTCCACTTCTGAAAAGAAAAAGAGCAAAGAAAATTACAGCACAGGAACAGGCCCTTCGGCCCTCCAAGCCTGCGCCGATCCAGATCCTCTATCTAAACCTGTTGCCTATTTTCCAAGGATCTGTATCTCTCTGCTCCCTGCCCACTCATGTATCTGTCTAGATACATCTTAAATGACGCTATCGTGCCCGCCTCTACCACCTCCGCTGGCAACATGTTCCAGGCACCCACCACCCTCTGCGTAAGGAACTTTCCACACATATCTCCCTTAAACTTTTCCCCTCTCACCTTGAAATCATGACCCCTAGTAATTGAGTCCCCCACTCTGGGAAAAAGCTTCTTGCCCCCCACCCTGTCTATACCTTCTGTTTGTCATTTTGATTTAGTTGAGAATGCAGAAGGCATGGTTAGTAAGTTTTCGGATGACACCAAAATTGGTGGTATAGTGGGCAGTGAAGAAGGTTATCTAAGATTGCAGTGGGCTGAGAACTGGCAGATGGAGTTAAATTTGGATAAATGTGAGGTATTGCATTTTGGGAAAGCAAACAAGGACAGGACTTATACAACTAAAAGTAGGGTCTTGGGTAGTGTTGTGGAACATAGAGATCTAGGGGGTTCTGGTACATAATTCTTTGAAGTTTGCATCACATGTAGACAGGGTGGTTAAGAAAGCATTTAGAACGCTTACTTCCATTGCTCAGAACATTGAGAATCAGAGTTGGGATGTTATGTTGGGGTTGTACAGGACGTTGGTGAGGCCTCTTTTGGAATACTGCGTCCAGTTCTAGCTGGGTAGGTGGGGATGTCTTTCACTGGAACATAGGAGGTTGGGGGATGATGTTGTAAATGTTTATAAAATCATAAGGGGCATAGTTAAGGTGAATAGCAAAGGTCTTTTCCCCTGGGTTGGGGAGTTCAAAACTAAAGGGCATAACTTTAAGGTGAGCGGAGAAAGATTTAAAAGGGACCTGATGGGCAACTTTTTCACACAGAGGCTGGTTCGTACGTGGAATGAACTTCCAGAGGAACTGTTAGATACAGGTACAGTTACAACATTTAAAAGGCCTTTGGACAGGTACATGAACGGGAAGATTTAGAGGAATATGAGCCAAATGCAGCCAAGTGGGAATAGCTTAGTTTGAGAAAGTTGGTTGGCATGGATGAGTTGGACTGAAGGGTCTGTTTCTGTGCTGTATAACTATGACTCATAACTTGTTGACTTTTGATTTCACTTCCACTCACAATGAATAATAACTTTGTATTACCTTTCTTAATTGCCTGCTGTACCTTTTGTAAATCATGTTCTTGGTCATCCGGATCCCTCTGTATCTCATAGCTCTGCAACCTCTCAACATTTAGCCATTTTGCTTCCTTTTATTCTTCCTTGCAAAAATTGTCAATTCCGTATTTTACTATCTTAGAATCCATCTGCTCATTTACTTAACTATCTTTATAAATTTATAGCTTCGTATTTCCTCTTCACAGCTTACATTCCTACCTGTTTTGATATCATCAGCAAATTTAGCAACCATACCTTCGGTCCTTTCACAAGTAGTTTAAATTGTAAAAGTTTAGGTCCTAGCACTGATCATTATGGCACACCATTCATAAGATCTTTCCACCCAGAAATTTAGCCATTTATGTCCACTCTGTTTCCTGTCAGCTAATCTTTCCATGCCAACATGTTAACCCTATATTGTGAGCTTTTCCTTTCTTCAGTAACTTTTGATGTTTAACCTTACTAAATCTTTCTGGAAATCTAAGTAAAGTACACATTCTGGTTCCTCTTTATTCAGAGCAGATGCCATTTCTTGAACAAACTTCAGTAAACATGATTTTCCTTTTGCAAAACTATTTGACTCTGCCTGATTGCCTTACATTTTTGTAATTGCCCTGTGATAACATCATGAAAAGCAGTTTCTGACACCTCCTTGATGATAAGTGGTAACCCAACAGATCTATAATTTCCTGACTTCTGTCTCCTTTTTTGAGTAAAGGAATTAAGTGTATTATTTTCAAATTTTATGGAGCCTTTTATGAATCGAGAGAACTTTTGAAAATAAAAAACAATGTGTCAACTGACTCACTTGCACCATCTTTTAAGATCCTAAAATGATGTCCTCGAGTCCGAACAGACATTTCAATCTGCAGTTTCAACTACTACTTTCCTTGCATTTCTCCCTCCCATCCATTCCCTGATATTTTACATTTCTGGGGTGTTACTAAATCCTCTACATTGATGACCAATGCAAAATATCTGTTCAATGCATCTGCCATATCTTATTTTCCATTATTAATTCTCCAAACTCTTTCTGTAGGACCAATGCTGACTTTGTTAACTTTTCCTTAAAAATATGTTAAAACTCTGAGTATCTGGTTTATATTACTAACTTAATTTCCCTTACACTCTTATCTTTTAGCCATTCTTTGCTGTTCTTTATATTCTGTCCAATCTTCTGATTCACCACCCATCTTTGCATAATTATATGATTTAAGTATGTCCCTTTAGAGTGAAGGGAAAAGCTGGCAGGTTTAGGGATCCCTGGTTGACGAAGGATATTGATGCTGTGGTCAGGAAAAAGAAGAAGGCATACATTGGGTTTAAGCTATTGGGCTCAAGTGAATCCCTAGATGATTTTAAAAAGTGTAGGAGCGCACTCAAAAAGAGGATATGAGATTGATTTGGTAGATAACTTGAAAAGTAATCCCAAGAGGTTTTACAGCTATATTAAGAGTAAAATGGTGGCTAGGGGGAGAATAGGTCCCCTTAAAGATCAGCATGGCTGTCCATGTGTGGAGCCAGTGTTTACTGAGGAGAGAATCACGGATGCTAAGGAAATAAAGGAAACAAGTGGGGATGTTTTTGACCACATACATATTACCAGAGAGGAGGTGTTTGCAGCCTTAAAGCATATTAAGGTGGATAAATCCCCTGGGCCTGATGAAGTCCATTCTTGGATGTTGTGGGATGCTAGGGAAGAAATGGCAGAGGCCTTTGGAAAGATTTTTGCTTCATCTTTAGCCACTAGTGAAGTTCCGGAAGACTGGAAGATAACTAACATTATTCCATTGTTTAAGAAATGTAGCAAAGACAAGCCAGGAACTACAGGCCAGTGAGCTTGACATGGAAGGCAAGTTCTTGGAGAGGATACTGAGGGACAGGATCAACCAACAATAGGATAGTCAAGGTCTGATTAGGGATAATGTAATCATGGATTTGTGCGCAGGAAGTCATGTCTGACAAATCATCAAGAGTTTTTCAAAGAGGTAACCAAGAGGATAGATGAGGGTAGGGCAGTGGATGTTGTTTGTATGGACTTTAATAGGGTCTTTGACAAGGTCCCATATGGTAGGCTAGTCATGAAAGTTAGATCGTGTGGGATCCAGGGAAAGGTAGCTAATTGGATTCAAAATTGGCTGGATGGTAGGAAGCAGAGGGTGGTGGTTGAAGGTTGTTTTTCGGACTGGAGGCCTGTGATTAGTGGTGTGCCACAGGGGTCAGTGCTGGGACCTTTGTTATTTGTTATTTACATAAATGATGTGGACGTGAATGTACAAGGCATGTTTAGTAAGTTTGCGGATGATATAAAATTAGCCGGTATCGTTGGTAATGAAGAAGGTTACCAAAAATTACAGAAGGATCTTGATCAGATAGGGTAGTGGGCTAGGGATTGGCAAATGCAATTCAATACAGATAAGTGTGAGGTGTTGCATTTTGGAAAGTCAAAACAAGGTAGAATTTGTACAGTAAGTGGTAAGGTCCTGAGGAGTGTTGTGGAACACAGGGACCGAGGAGTACAAGTACATAGTTCATTGAAAGTGGCATCACAGGTGGACAGGATGGTGAAGAAGGTATTCAGAATGCTGGCCTTCATTGTTCGAGACATTGAGCTTGGAGTTGGGATATAGTGTTACAGTTGTATAAGTCGTTGGTGTACTTGGAGTATTGTGTACAGTTTTGGTCACCCCGTTATAGGAAAGACATAGTTAAGCTAAAAAGTGTGCAAAGAAGATTTATGAGGATGTTGCCAGGACTAGTAGGCCTGAGTTATAGGGAGAGGTTGGCCAGAATAGGACTGTATTCCTTGGAATGTAGGAAAGTGAGGGGTAACCTTGTTGAGGTGTATAAAATCATGAGGGACATAGATAGGATGAATGCATATAGTCTTTTTCCCAGGGATGGGAAATTGAAAACTCGAGGGTATAGGTTAAAGGTCAGAGAGGATAGATTTAAGAAGGACCTGAGGGGCAATTTGTTCACGCAGAGTGTTGTGTATATGGAATGGGTTCATATGGAATGAACCAGAGAAAGTGGTTGAGGCACTTGACATCAACATTTAAAAAATATTTGGATAGATACATGGATGAGAAGGGTTTAGAACATAGAACATAGAACAGTACAGCACAGTACAGGCCCTTCGGCCCACGATGTTGTGCCGAACTTTTACCCTAAACCCAAGGTCTATCTAACCTCCACCGCTACCTTATACTATCATCCATGCGCCTATCTAATAGCAGCTTAAATGCCCCTAATGAGGCCGACTCCACTACCCTCTCCGGCAATGCATTTCACGCCCCTACCACTCTCTGAGTAAAGAACCTACCTCTGACGTCTCCCCGATATCTACCTCCTTTCACTTTAAAACTATGTCCCCTCGTAAAAGCTACCTCCACCCTAGGAAAAAGTCTCTGGCTGTCTACTCTATCTATACCTCTGATCATTTTGTACACCTCTATCAAGTCACTTCTCATCCTTCGTTGTTCTAAAGAGAAAAGCCCTAGCTCTCTCAACCTTTCCTCATAAGGCCTTCCCTCCATTCCAGGCAACATCCTGGTAAATCTCGTCTGCACCTTTTCTAACGCTTCCACATCTTTCCTGTAATGAGGTGACCAGAAGTGGATACAATACTCCAGATGTGGCCGAACCAGGCTTTTGTATATCTGGAGCATAACTTCATTGCTCTTGAACTCAATCCCTCTATTAATGAAAGCTAACACACCATACGCCTTCTTAACAACTCTATCCACCTGGGTGGCAGCTCTCAGGGAACTGTGAACATGAACCCCAAGATCCCTCTGCTCCTCCACACTGCCAAGAATCTTTCCGTTAACCCTGTATTCTGCTTTCAAGTTTGTCCTTCCAAAATGAATCACCTCACACTTTTCAGGGTTAAACTCCATCTGCCACTTCTCAGCCCAGCTCTGCATTCTATCAATGACCCTTTGTAACCTAGAACAGCCCTCCGCACTGTCCACAACGTGACCCACCTTCGTATCGTCCGCGAATTTGCTAATCCACCCTTCCACTCCTTCATCCAAATCACTTACAAAAATCACAAATAGAAGAGGACCCAGAACAGATCCTTGTGGTACACCACTCGTAACTGAGCACCATATTGAATATTTTCCGTCCATTAATAGAGGGATATGGACCAAATGCAGGCAATTGGAACTAGCTGAGTGGGCACCATGGTCAGCATGGACCAGTTTGGGCTGAAGGGCCTGTTTCCATGCTGTATTACTCTATGACTCTATTTCAGATGAATAGTAATTCAATTTGGGTATCATTTTCAACAGTTTAGGTACTTCACAGAGCCATGGATTAAGTATGGTAATAGACTTGTGTATATGTCTTACAGCCAGCCAGCTAAAAAAAGAAGTGCTGCGTTAATTCTAGGTTTGTGGCTGATGCAGCTGTGAATCTTGGTGCCTGTACAGACGCATTAGAATGTATCATCCACTCCATGTAAATACAATTGTAAATTTTGAATAAATCCCCCAACTCCATTTTCTGGTTTGACATCTAGTGATGGTAAATTGCACACCACTAATTACATATCACGGGTCTGAGTATTTAAAAAGAATCGTAAATTATCTGTTTTAGCAGCTTAGCACAGATGCCCTCCTACTGATGTTCTTATACATTAACCCTACAATCTAAAGCAGCAGTAAAGTCTGTATGATCATTTCAACATGTTCTACTGATCCTATCCCCTCCCCTTCATCATCCCCCAACCTCCCCCAAACCAGATGCACGACTATATTTTGAAAAGTGTATGACAGTAGATCTCAAAATACCAGACCATATCTCTTAATCAAATGTCTATTTGATGACTTAACTCATTCGTAGAAAAATAGTAGGAGTTATTTTTATTATGAAGATAGCATTTCAATAGAGTTCAGTGTTTTGAAAATTCATTTCTTTTTTAAAGAAGAAAAGAACTCATGCTGATGTTGTACTGTAACTCTCAATATATGGTTTTATTTTTACCTTTTCAGGATTAAGTTCTGTTACATGCTGCCAAAATTGAAGTCTGCATTGAAACTGCCTGCTGACAAACACCTACTTCAACAACTAGAGCTTTGTGTTAGGAAATTACTTTGTCAGGAAAAGGACAAAGATGTCACAGCAATAGTGAGAATTGTATGTTTACTTCTTATATCATTTTTGCAATTGATTATTCTGCAGTCAGTCTTGAATCATTACAGTTGAGATTAGGTACTTTGTCTATTTGACTGAATCAGTGGATCATTTGAAAAGTGAATCTGATTTTAGATGTCCAAATCATTTCAAAACTTGATTATAAATTCTTTAATATTTAAAAATATAAGATGTTGGACTTAGTTATTAGAAGGCATATTTTGCTATAAAGAGTGATGGCATCTAAGCTTTCTGTCATTAAGATAACAATTGGCCAGCAACTTGTGTAGATGAATTATGAATTGCTACCAGATCCACCATTAACTTTGGCCATGGTTTTCTTGAAGTTATATCGTTTGCACATTAATTATCAATTAAAAGTAAAGTCATCGTAGTCTTACCAGATCATTGGACTGCTCCCTCATTCACAGGAGTGGACTGGTGGTGTTTAAATGTGAGTGTCACCATGCCTCAGGTGAGGAAAAAGGCTGAAAAGGAGAGTCCTTCGTGGTAACCCAGCCTGTGTGGGAATTAAACCCACTCTGCGTCACAAACCAACTGTCCGGCCAACTGAACTAACAGACCAATATTCGATTAAATTCACCAGGAAATGCCAAATTTTGAAATCGTCACTGGAAGTAAACTTTTCATGGGATTGCCGTCGCTAACAACCAGTTAATCGCTCTTGCCCCCAAAGTCTGAACATTTACAATGTGGAATCTCATTCCTTCAGGTTATGAATTGTTTTTGGAAATGCTAAACATATTAAATTCATCATTCCTTTAATCTTTTGTTTCCTTTGGCTCTTTTTTTCCTCTCTTCCCATAATCCAGCCTTTGGTTCTCCCACTTTGCCCTTCTGTTCCTGATTTAACATACAATTCAGCCAGTTTAATTCACTGCCCGTTTCAATCCTTTCTTTGTTTATTTCACTGTTCTTCACCTTGTAATCATGTTAGTTAAGGAGATTCACAGTTTATCCTTCCAAACATTCATGTCTGAAATGCCTTGTTCCATCCATTGCACAATTGGCAGCACGTACGTCCAGCAGCTTTGTTGGAAAGATGTTTAAAACCTAAATATGCTCATCAAGTCAGAATAATGAACACACCATGAAATACCCTGCCTCAGCAAAATTAGACCCATTATGCCACATGTTGATGGGCACAAACTATTTTCCTATTGCAGTCTGTACACAGCGGAAACAATTTATCCTAACATTAAGAAGAAAAAGATCTTGTTTAAAATATCTGTTTTAAGCTGGAAATTGTGTCATGGGGTTAGCTTCTAATTTTAGAGTGCATATTACTGTAGAATGCTGCATTTAAGTTTGTCCGGCCTATGAAATGGTCAAATTTTATCAACGCCAGTTGTTATACTTTTGCATATACTTGGTTGACTATCTCTTTTCAACTACAAATGTTTTACTCACATTTGTAGTCCACCTCAATTTTTCATGTCAAATCATATTTCACTTAATTTACACTGTAGGTTGGCACATGAGACCAAACAGATGATACAGCTTGTGTTGCAAATGAACTTTCTGAAGAAGAATCATGTTGGATTCAATGTTAGCTCTGTTTTTCTCTTCACAAATGCTACCAGACCACCTGAGTTTCTCCACTTTTTCTGTGTCTGTTTCAGATTTCCTACAACCACAGTACTTTGCTTTCATTAAAAGAAAAGTGAATGAGAAACAGAAATGGCTTGTCCACTAAAAGTATTGAAGTATGAAGCAGTTTTCAAACTAAAAATCATAACATTTACTAACTTGTCAAATAACTATACTGTAGCAAAGGAATTCAATGAAAAACTAATGTGAGAACAGAAGGAGGAAGAATCCACTTTGTAGAAGATGTCTGAGACCAAATGCACATCCGAATAGGGACCAGCCGTTGGCCTGATATTTAGAAGCATGCATTAGACTGGGTCTTCAAAATCATCAGAATCATCATCACCCTATAATCACTTAAATCTGGTACAATTATGAAATTTCTAAGGCTTTCCTAAAATATCAGTGAATATCAGAAATTTTGCCACAGACCTAGAGAGAGAGCATCTATAAGCCTAAAAGTTCAATTTGCCAGAATATGTGTGGAAGCTCAAGCTTGCATTTAAAAACAATCCAAAGGAGTTAAAATGAAGCTGGAAGATTTATCTAGCTCGCACCAGAAGAAAGATTTCTAGTAACACTCTCACGACAAAGGACAGTTCTCAAGCTAGACGTTACCTGGTAGATAAAGGGAAAAAACAGAAGTCTCAAGTTAAGGATCATTTGGACTGATTCTGGGGGCATTGAATGCCCACTTAAAAGACAGTGTTGTGTACCAATCAAGTGTTTTTGCAATTGTGTTTAAAACAAAAAAAGGTATTACTTTCAGCAATTTAAACTGTAAGTGGCCAACAATAATAGTTTTTAATTACTTAGGCTTTTAGTCTTTTCATTATATCTTGAACCACAAAATATTGGAGTACCATCCTTTCAATTATTATTTGGAAGTTCATATTGCTTTTTAAAAGTTATCAATATGTACTAATATCTGAATATGCGGTACAAATAAAGCCCTAAGTCCAACAAGGATTTCAAACAGCTAGTTGATCTAGACATTTTATGAGACAAAACAGCTTAACGTTGTGACAGAAGACCAAAATTGCTAAGATACTACCAAGAGACCTCTACTAAAAATTTCTGGATCGCAATCGTTCACAATTAGAAAGTGGCAGAAACTGGTATCCATTAAGTCACATCAGCATCATGGATGGAACATCTGTGAATTTTGATTTGTGCTGCATCCAGGCTGTAGAATGCAAAGATGCAAACTCACCTCCAAACTCCAAGAACTAGGACTCTACTTCCCCCATCTGCAACTGGATCCTTGACTTCTTGACCCACGGACCACAATCAGTAAGAATAGGTGTCAACACCTTCCTCCATGAAAATCCTCAATACCAGTGCCCTGCATGGTTGCACATTCAGCCCCTCTCCTCCTTATACACTCATGACTGTGTGGCTAAGTTCTGCTGAAACTTCATTTACCAGTTTGCTGTTGACACCCCGTCATGGGTCAGATCTAAACAATGATTAGACAGAGTACAGGAAAGAGCTAGAGAGCTTAGTGGCATGGTGTAAAGACAACAATCTCTCCCTCAATGTCAGCAAAACAAAGGAGTTGGTCATCCACTTGAGAAAGCAGAGTGGAGGACACGCACCTGTCTGTATAAATGGTGCTGAGGTAGAAATGGTCGAGAGCATCAAGTTCCTGGGAATGAAGATCACCAACAATCTGTCTTGGTCCATCCTTGTTGACGCTACGGTCAAGAAAACACACTAACGCCTCTGCTTGCTCAAGAAGACTGCGGAACTTCGGCATGTCCACAATGACTCTTACCAATTTTTATAGATGCACCATAGAAAGCATCCTATCCGGATGCATTACAGCTGGCTGTGGTTGTTTAAAGAGGTGACAGAGAAGATTGGTGAAGGCAGAGCGGTAGATGTCGTGTGGTTTGGTTATGAAAATGTGGGATGCTACTAATGCGTGAGGTGAGATCAAGTAGTTCAGTAAGTGCAGAATATACAATTCTGCCATATCCAATTCAGATAAAGAGCAAGATGACTTGTGGAGAATTGAATATGAAAGCCAAAACTTCAAATCTGATCTTGCTTGAGGTCCTTAAGAAGACGACATAGCCAAAGTGATTCCGAATGAAATTGATGAACTCTTTATATCAGATGCTGAAGGTGATTTAGGAGATAGCAAGAACTCCAGCAGATGCTGGAGTCAAAGTCAGTACAGTGTGGAGCTGAAGGAACACAGCAGGTCAGGTAGCATCAGAAGAGCAGGAAAGTCGACGTTTTGGGTTTATACCCTTCATCAGGACTGGGCAGGGGGAAGGGTGTTCGAAATTAATAGAGGGAGAGGAGTGGGGCTGGGCGAAGATACACGGGATGGTGATAGGTGGATGCAGATAGGGGGTAGTGAAGATTGGTCAGTGGGAAGGGTGGGGCAGATGGGTGGGAAAGAAGATAGACAGGTTGTGTCAGGTCAAGGAGGTGGGGATCAGAGAGAGGGTGGTACATGAGATGAGGCCGGGGGTGGGGACCTTTTGAAACTAGTGAAATCTATGTTGAGTCCATCGGGTTGTAGGCTCCCGAGGTGGAATATGAGACGGTGTTCCTCCAGTTTGCGTATGGTGTCATTATGACACTGGAGGGGGCCCCAGGATAGACATATCACCAAGGGAGTGGGAGGGGGAGTTAAAATGGTTGGCAACCTGAAGGTGTTGTTGATTATAGCCTACAGAGCGCAGATGCTCCGTGAATCGGTGACCGAGTCTGCACTTGGTCTCACCTATGTAGGACGCCACATCGGGAGCAATGGATACAGAAGACCAGGTTAGAAGATGTACGGTGAATCCCTGTCAGATTTGGAAAGATGTTAGACAGAGGAGAAAGGGGAGGTATAGGGGCAGGGGTAGCACCTCCTGCAGTTGCACGGAAACGTGAAACTAGAAGGGAGATAAGGAGAAACTTCTTCAGCCAGAGAGTGGTGAATCTATGGAATTCGCTGCCACAGAGGGCTGTGGAGGCCAGGTCGTTGAGTACATTTAAGACTGAGATAAATAGGTTCTTGATTATCAAGGGGATCAATGGTTATGGAGAGAAAGCAGGAGAATGGGGTTGAGGAACTTATCAGCCATGATTGAATGACGGAGCAGACTCGACGGGCCGAATGGTCTAATTTCTGCTCCTATGTCTTATGGTCTTATGGAAAGATGCTGGGTGTGGTGAGGTTGATGGGGAGTGTGGAGGGGACGAGGGAGTCTAGGTGTGAGTGGTCCCTACGAAAGGCAGATGGAGGTGGGGAGGGAAATATCTCTTTGGTGGTGGGGTTGGATTGGTGGCAGAAGTGGTGGAGAATGATGCAGTGGATGCGGAGGTTGGTGGGGTGATATTTGAGGACCAGAGGGACTCTCCTTATTTTTGTTGGGTGGAAGGGGTTTGAGGGTAGAAGTGAAGGAAATGCAAGAGATGCGGTTGAGGGCATTACGAATCAACAGAGAGGGGAAACTGCGGTCCTTGAAGGAGGAGGACATCTGGGATGTCTGGGAGCGGATGTGGCGGAGGCGGAGGAATTGGGAGTGAGTTATCACATTCTTGCAGGAGGGTGGGTGAGAGGAAATGTTGGAATCGGTGGGTTTGAAATAGATGTCAGTGCTGAGATGGTTACCGGAGATGGAGATGGAGAGGTCCAGGAAGGGGAGGGAGGTGTTGGAGATGGTCCAGGTAAATTTGAGGTTGAGGAGAAGGGTGCTGGTAAAGTTGAACTGTTCAGGCTCCTCATGGGAGCATGAGGCAGCACCGATAATGTCATCAATGTAGAGGAAGAGGTTAGGGATGGTGCCAGTGTAACAGCCGAAGAGGACTGGTCCACATATCCTACGAAGAGGCAGGCATAGCTTGGACCCATATGGGTGCCCATAGCCACCCCCTTAGTTTGTAGGAAGTGAGAGGAGTTAAAGAAAAAGTTGTTGAAGATAAGGACAAGTTCTTTTAAGCAAATGAGGGTGTTGGTGGACGGAGGAAGTGGAGGACTTTTAGGCCATCTGCGTGGGGGATATAGGCGTATCCATGGTGAAGATGAGGTGTTGGGGGCCAGAGAATTGACATAGTGGAGGCCAGGCGCCAACTCTCCGACACCACCTCCTACTGTCCTGTCAATTATGACCCCACACCTGATCACCAAACCATCATCTCCCAGACCATCAATAACCTCTTCACCTCAGGAGACCTCCCACCCACAGCCTCCAACCTCATCATTCCCAAACCCCACGCCACCTGTTTCAATCTCCATCCCAAAATCCACAAACCTGACTGTCCTGGCTGACCCATTGTCTCTGCCTGCTCCTGCCCTACCGAACTCATCTCTGCTTACCTCGACTCCATTTTCTCCCCCCCGGCCCAGGACTCCCCACCTATGTTCGGGGCACTAACCCACCCTGCACCTCCTCCAAGACTTTCAGTTCCCCGCCCCTCAACACCCCACCTTCACCAAGGACATCCAGACGGTATACACCTGTATCTCCCACGTGAATGGCCTAAAAGCCCTCCGCTTCTTCCTCTCCCACAGGCCCAACCAGTCCACCTCCACCGACACCTTCAACCGCTTAACGGAACTTGTCCTTACCTTTAACAACTTCTCCTTTAACTCCTCCCACTTTCTACAAACTAAACGGGTGGCTATGGGCAGCCATAAGGGTCCAAACTATGCCCGTCTTTTTGTAGGATGTGTGGAATAGCCCCTCTTCTGCTGTTACCCTGGCACCATCCCTCACCTCTTTCTCCAACACATTGATGACTGTTGGCTGCATTGTGCTCCCATGAGGCGCTTGAACAGTTCACCAACTTTACTAATTTTCATCCCAACATCAACTTTCACCCCAACCTCAAATTCCCTTGACCATCTCCGACACCTCCTTCCCCTTCCTGGACCTCCCTGCCTCCATCTCCGGTAACCATCTCAGCACTGACATCTATTTCGAACTCACGGACTCCCATAGCTACCTTGACTACACCTCTTCTCGCCCACCCTCCTGCAAGAATGCGATCCCCTACTCCCGATCCCTCTGCCTTCGCTGCATCTGCTCCCAAGAGGGAGTGTTCCACTCCTGGACATCCAAAATTCATAATGCCCTCGACCGCATCTCTTGCACTTCCTGCACTTGTGCCCTCAAACCCCTTCCCCCCCCAAAAAAAAATAAGGACAGAGTCCCCTGGTCCTCACATACCAGCCCACCAACCTCCACATCCAGTGCATCGTCCTCCGCCACTTCCACCACCAACAATCCGACCCCACTTCCAAAGAGATATTTCCATCCCCACACCCCAATCCGCCTTTCGTAGGGACTGCTCACTCCAAGATTCCATCTCCCCACTCCACACCAACACCACTACACTTGGCACCTTTCCCTGCAACTGCAGGAAATGCTACACCTGCCCCCATACCTCCCCTCTCCCCTCCGTCCAAGGCCCCAGACTATCTTTCCAAATCTGACAGTGATTCACCTGTACATCCTCCAACCTGGTCTACTGTATCCATTTTTCGAAGTGGTCTCCTCTACATCAGTGAAACCAAGTGCAGACTCGGTGACTGATTCACGGAACATCTGCACTCAGTACGCTATAATCAACAACACCTTCCAGTTGCCAACCGTTTTAACTCTCCCTTCCTACTCTCTGAGTGACATGTCCATCCTGGGCTACCTCCAGTGTCACAATGACGCCATACACAAACCAGTGAAACAACGCCTCATAGTCCGCCTCGGGAGCTTACAGCCCAATGGCTTCAATATAGAATTCACCAGTTTCAAAATGTCCCCACCCCCGGCCTCATCCCATGTCTAACCCTCCCTCTCATTCCCGCTTCCTTGATCTGATAACAACCTGTCTATCTTCTCTCCCACCTATTTGTCCCACCCATCCCCCTGACCAATCTCCACTACCTGCATTCCACTTACCTTTCTCCAGCCCCACTCCCCTCTCTCTATTTATTTCTGAGATCCCTTCCCCATCCCAGGTCCTGATGAAGGGTGTAAATCTGAAACGTTGACTTTCCTGCTCCTCTGACACTGCCTGTGTTCCTCCAACTCCACACTGTATCGAGGTAATGAATTTAACTGTTTTAAAATGCTCGGATTGGTTACAGGTGTCTTTGTACAATTGATTCATTCAATAAACTGTGCCACATTAATATGAATGACAATTGTCATGTTTATTTTCATACTTCAAATCGTGACCGCAACACAATTGCAGTTTATCTTTTATACAAAGCATACAAGTCGACCCCCACTTTTAGAGGATTTTTGGAGGCTTCAAAGGGTGGCGTATTTGCTGTGATCTATAGATACTCACTCTTTCTACAAACAACCTCCTTTCAAATGCTATTTTACCAGCATTAACTCATCCTCAAGAAATTTGGTGGTTAGGTTATTTAGCAAGAGATGAGAAATTGTACTGAGTGGGAAAAAAACAAGTATAAATTCTTGATAATGTTCTAGAACTGAATCACTTTTTTGTCTATTGTCTCCTTTCAAATTCTACCAACACTCTTTTGCTCTTAGATAACGTTGGAATTAGATAGAATGGAAACGAATACGGAATCTGTAAGTTAGCATTTTGCTGTAGCTTTTCTCCAAACAATTGGTTATTCCAAAAATAAGTTAAGCAATTCAGTTACTAATCAATGAGTATTTGACTTTTTCTTTCTCTAGTTTCCCAAAAGGTTGCAAGAAAAAGACTTACTGGATCACAAGAAAGAAAAAGAAGAAAATTTGCTTCTAGAAATGGTAATGTCTGTTGAAGTGTGTGTATCTGTTCATTACAGAATTACATTATGTTTCACACTATCTCCATATATATCTTTGCTAATTTTGTATTATTTTTCAGTATGCAAGTGTTTACAAAAGTTGTTAATATTGAAAATTGAATAATTGAATTCTGAGGGATAATGGCACATCCAAAAGTCGTCACCTCCACTTTCCTGACTTTTCCCTATGTGATGGTTACTTGAGCAGGATTTTCCCTCTTGAGGGAATAATGTTATTCTTCATGGTTAAGGAGAAACCCTGTTTGCCTTGTTCATTCAGGTCCTACTTTCCTTGCTGTGCTCTTAACATCTTACACTTTTGGTAACTTTGAGAAAAATGTTTTGAACAGAAGGGTGCAGGACAGGTCTAACTAATGACAGATAAGGTTGGGTGGTCTGCTATAACATGTTTTGGCTCATTTGACTCCCAAGATATTATCATCACTTTGTACAAACCTTTCACACTTTTCTCATAGCCAGATATGGAGAATGTGACATCCTGACATTGATATAAATTAATGTTACATATTTCAGATGGTGGATCAATTCATCATAATGCATTTAGGACATGTGGCTATTGGCAGTAAACTATAATTGTTTTCAGTCAATGGATTTAACATTATCACAAGGAAATTTCTCAGGTGATGTACACAGTACTGTATACAGTCACTTACATCAACAGCCTGCAAACCAAACTCATAACGGATTACTAAGAAATAGGTTATGCCTCTCAGATGAACTTAACATTAGAGTAAGAGATATTCTGAATGTATTTGGATTTCACAAGTATTTGATAAAGTTCCAAAATTACACTTTTAAAATGCATAAAAGCTGACAGTATTAATATAGTCCTGAAGTTTGCCCTCACTGGTGAAGGGATTGTGCCTGCCATACTCCTGACTGATGTCTGCTCACAATCTCTTTGAGCTTGTAAATGGAAACTTTCTCTAATACAGCAATTTTTCGAGCCACCATACTCTACGAGCTAAGTTGCCTATAAAACAGGGCAAGAAATGAGAAAGCTCTTCAACTAATTAGATTGAAGAATGCTCATTGTGATGCACAGAGTCTAGATCAGGAAGTATAAACCAGGAAAAATAAATCAGTCTTAGTTAGAGTAGGTGAAATAAAGATTGGGAAATAAGGATGGGATTAAGGGAGAAAAATAAAAGTCAACAGAAAAGGCTAAAAAAAACACTAGTTCTCTCTGAGAGTAAAGGATTTCGCACTTAAAATTCATATTTCTTGGCCAAAGTGATTATTCAGCTGTAATTACATATGATAAGAGCATAAGAAATTAAAGAGGGAATGGGCTTTTTTAAACCTTCTCTGTCATCAACAAGATAATGGCTGATTTTCGACCTTATTTCCACTTCCTCTCACTATGTTTGTCTCCCATAATTCTCTCTTAATACCCACAAAGTCTGTTAGCCTTTGTCTTGGCTGTTTTTAATGACTGAACATCCAGAGATCTCTGGCGTATTTAAATCCAAATATTCAGAATTTTTTAAGTGAAGACATTTTTGCTCATCATCGCACTTTATGACTGACACATTATTCTGATGCTGTGACACTATGTGCTGGATTCTCCAGCCAAGGCAAAATTTTTCTCAGTATCTATAAAGGTCCTCAGGACCGTTAATTCACCTCTATTCTTTCTAAATCCCCAAAATGGAATGTAAGCCTAGTCTACTCAATCTGTCTTCATCTGTCCTCAATTCCCTTACCCTGAGAATTACATTATTGAATCTGTTTTGCACTCCCTCACGTGCATGTATATCCTTCCTTTGGCAAGTTCACCAAAGCTGCACACTTATCAGTTCAAAAATCATTCCTGAATACACGAGTTCTAACTTTTTCAGTAATTTTTAATACAGAACTCATGGTCAGATCTAATAAATTCACACGGTTGTATTTATGTATTGAATGCTGTGTCTGTGGTCAAGGGCAGCAGCGACATGCTTTGTAATGGGTGGTGTAGTTTACAGTAGTATCTGGATTTGCTTGTATAGTTGTGTGTGTGAAATCTTGAGAAGTTGCTGTTAGATTTCCTCCACCATAACTGTTGAGCTGATTGTTTTTATCATTATTTTTATTGTAAGTTCTGGACCAACAAGTTAACGAGTGGAATTGTGAACAACAGAGATAAGAGCTAATGATAAATGAGAAAGGCTATTCCTGTTGTTACAGAGTTGTAAAGCTCCACAAACATTGCTCTGCTTGTAGAGAACAGCTTGCCATGGTTAAGTAGTCAAAATAGATTGCTTCTTTAGAGTTTTGTTTAATTACTTTGATGTGAGGGATTTATATTGCAAGCATTATTTTAAGATGGCAAAGAAGATATGATAGGAATAGCTTGAATGTTTCTCATGACATACTTTATATTTTTATGTGTAAGCCTTTTATTCATATTATCTTTGTACTCTTAAAGAATTTAAAATTTGCATGCTAATATTTCATTTAACAGGAAGACATGGAAAAACGGGGAGAAAGCAAGTTAATGAATGAAAAGAAATTACGTGAGTTTTTGCTCTAAACTTATAAACATTCTGTGGCTGAATGCAGCACTGTTATGAAAAAGGTATTATATTCTGCCAAGTTAATTTATATACTGACTCGCCATCTAACTCCTCAAAGCCTGACCATTCATCCCTACAACTTGCAAGGATGACTTCAATTCCAAAATATTTAAGAAGTCCACCATCCCTCATTTGATCAGCAACCCATACACCACCTTATCTATTCTCTCCCTCTGCAACCACCACTGCACAATAGCAACAGTGTGAGACACCTACAAGATGCACCACTGCAACCACCAAATTTCCTCAAACAGCACTTTTGAATCATACAACCTCTACTATCTAGGAGAACAAGGGCTGCAGCCACGTGGAAATACCATCACCTTTAAGTTCCCTTCCAAGTAACACACCATCCTGACTTGGAACTATATCACCATTCCTGGGTCAAAATTCTGAACTTCTTAACAGTATTGTCAGTTTAACTATATCTCATAGACTACAGTAGTTCATAAAGTTAAATTACCACCATCTTTTCAAGAGCATTTGGAGATAGACAGACAACAGGTGGTGAGCTGATCAGTGAGGTTCATATCCCAGAAATGAATATTAAAAAAAAACTCTAGTAGAGCAATATATCTTGTATAGTTGGAGAGAGCTCTTTTTTTGCTAGACAGTATGGGTAAATTCCTCTCATAGTATCAATGCCAACCTGTGGAGATAACTGGAGAGACAAAAAATGGTAAACAAAAGAAAGATAACAAGCTAGTGAAATGTACAAGACAAACAAAGCAGCCGTATGAGTTGGATAACTGTTCCCAATCAGATAGTGACACCCATCAATAATCTTAACCAAGTTCCAACTTTCATCAGCATAACTTAAAATGGCTCAGAATTGGCTGGAAAATTTTGACATAACTAGGGACATTCCACTGTTTTCTCAGAGGGAATTGGAATACATCTAATGTATGTTAAAACATGATGTTTACAGTCTTCCTCAATGTTTTCTGTCCTTTCTCAGATATTGTTATCAAAAACCTCTGATACTCATTTGCAAAGCTCCACCCATGCAAAAGATCAACTCATGCAGGTTCCCTTGAGTTACACAAATAATGCACTGGTGTAGATTTTGGGTCTAAATTTTGGTGCAATATAGTTTGTACTTAACTGATATCTCTATAACTGCAGTTTCTGGTATCTTATAGCAACTTTCTTCAAGTTCTTATTGAATCCAGCATTGTACTTGATTGAAGTACTGTCCCTCACAATGCAACTAAAATTTTTAGGCGTTCTTCCCCATCACAATGATCAAGCAACTGCTATTACTTTTTCAATTGGCATGTCACTATTCTACTTTATAATAGTAGAGGAACAGAGATATTTGAGTTTCTGTGGGTGATATGTAAAGGTAGAAGCCACAGACCAGCTGAAGTCAAAATCACAGGAAAATCATTGTTAGGCATTTTCTTGAGCTGTGCTTAATCTACTGGCATAACGTCACCAAAACAACAGATAAGAGCTGAACTGGCCAGGCTGATTTCATTTGATTGTGTTACAGTGTACTTTTTCTCAAACTGATGCAGCTGATTTCTGCTGTTATTTGTTTTTCCTCACCCTTGAATTAAAAATCAAAATGAAATAATTTGTTTTCTTTACCAGTTTCATCTTTTAACAAAGATGGGAAAAAGAAGACTAAGTTAGGTCGCAGCCGTTCACTTGGTGGTCGGGTAGCTCCTCCAAAGGTCGCCACTGATAAATCCACAATGTAAGTAAGGCCAAATTAGGAAAATGCCTTAAAGCCAGGGGCAAGTTGTAAGCATCACAGTCACTTGTTCTTGATTCTTTCTATCCATAAAAACTATATCAACACAAATAATTTGATTTTGATTTGAGAAAATCGGACTTGCTAATCTAAACAATAGCACCACCTAGTCCTCAAAGCAAAAATTTTACCTAGTAGGAATAAAACAGAAATATTTATTTGTGTGAATATAAATAATTTTGCATCCTGAATTAATTTAGCAATTTAAAAAATTCTAGTTTATTTTGGGGAGTAAGGCAGATTACACATGCCCAGCTAATTTACAATCACTAATAGATGGTTTCAACTAGGTGCTGATTTGACTTAGTGCATACATTGTACGTACTGTGATCCAGGTTTTCCAACAGCCAGATAGTCATTTCTGCAGCATAGCTGGGAGTTATGCATTGAGACACTGCAGAATCCCCACAAAACCCAATATAGCAGACCCTGACCCCTTACAGTCTAGAGTGGACCCCTATAGAGACATCACGCACCCCCACCCCAAAAAAAAGCATTACCACCACCACAAGCACTTGACCACCTACCAGGCCAAATATCCCCATCTATTATGACTGCCTTAAACACTCCATCACTTACCTGATCCCTTTTCCACATTGCGCGACTTACCCAGCATGTTACTGACTGGGCACCCTGCATCTGAACCTCACACTTTGCTTATGTGCTTACCCTTTCACAAGAACTGTCAAAGTATCTGTTTGAGATGCTGAGCATTTAAATAATGGATCAGATTTTAATCTAAGTATAACAGTGACGTTAACAACTTCCATTGTTATTTATGTGCAATCAAACAGCAACCTCAGGCGTGTGCAAATGTGCAATTTAATGCAGAATATCAGGAACTACTTTACAAGATGTGCCATTCTGCCTTTATCTGTGCAGAAGTTCACCTCCTTGTCTGACTCCCCATTTAAGTTTATTGAACAGTGTTGTAATTATGGACTGAATCTATCAAAAGAAGTAGGACTTCTCTATTTCAGTCTAAGAGCATAAGTTTTTCATATTGCCAAACAATTGTTTTGACACTGAAATTGAACATTTTCCAAGGATGGAGTCCATTCCGTCAGCTTTTAATTGTTTCTGGAAATCTTTCAAACAAAAAATTTAAAAACATTTTCTAAACCTCTCTTTTACTGTCTTCTCATCCAATCTTTCTTTTCTTTTATTTCTCTTCTTTTATTACCTGATCTAACTTGAATTCACTATTTTAACTGATGCCTACTGGTTCAGATTTTCTGTTATTCCTTAACTGTACATTCTGGTTAGTTGAAGGGCTTGCCCTTTTCACACAGTTCCTTAATGCTTTAAAGGGCACACCATAATATGCCATTTGTAGCAATTTAACATTTAAATTAAAAACTCATGGAAATGGATAAGACTAATGGATGGTGAGCAGTGAGATCCATCATTTGCAGTAAATCCTGGCTTCTTGTGTATATTATAAATCAAACTATTTTAATTTTAATGTAAATAGAAAAATCTGACATTCCTAATCACACATGCAATGTTTGTATTCAAGGAAACTTACTTCAGCAGCATCAAATTCTCAAATTGCTACAACTACAAAAAATTCTCTACTATCGTTTGGTAAGTAGATATACACATACTTTTTTTTGCAGCGTCACTATCATTTGTGTACAATTCAAAAAGACAATTGAAGAATGAATTTCCAGCATGAGCTTGGAGGACCAAATAACTGCCTCCTGTGCTGATTGAAACTATATTTTGTGTATAAAAAAATCAAATAAAAGAATTTAATAATAAGTACACATGTATTATTGTCTTGGAGGATAACCATGATTATCATAAATATTGAACCCTACACAAGCAGATATATAATTGTTAATATACAAAGATCTTGCATTTATGATGTATATCTTACTGTTGTTTGGTAAGCAAATGAAACAGTTAATTTGCAAGCAAATAGAATAATGTGAATAGCAAGTGAGATAAATGATCAGTTAATTTATTTCCATCGTCTTCTTCACCATCTGGGGAGTTTGATAGAGTCCCCGTGGGTATGTAGATGACGGCTGCAATCAGCCTGCAGCTGGAACGTTCTGCTGCAAACAGGATAGGACTCTGCAGACAGTTGGATTTTGAACAAGTTGCTGACTCAGCATTTCCTCTCCTTGCTTTTTCTCATTCCCTGTACTCCTTTCAGAGGACGCTCAGGTTGCACCTTTAGTTCATCAAATGCAGTGATCCTGCATGAGCTTCTCCCACAACTCTCTGTTGAAATTAAAACGCTTAGGCAAAGCCTCTTCAAGTATCTTGAAACACTTGCTTTGACTGCTATGTGAGTGTACTGTAGTCCTCAGCTCTTGAAAGTGGATCGCTGCAGCATACTGTCTAAGTATGCCACAAAATTTTGTCGAAAGATAATGAAAATCAATGTTAAATAAATTTGGTAGCTTGATGCATTTGATCCTTCTATAGCTTGTATTATGCACGTTGTTGTAAACCTGTCTTGCGAGACTGTAACCACAGTAAATGTGATGTGTATGAGCAGTAAATTCAGCTGAAAAAAGGTGGGTCTGCCAAGGAAATTTTTGTCTCATTGAAGTGTGCCATGTTATTGAAAAGGTTGGAAACCACTGCTAGAAAATTCTAGTTCATTAGGCAGATTCTCAGATATTTGAAATCTGTCAAAGGCTGGACTTTTTTTTGACAATTCTTGCATGTGACTCTTCATTGATGAAATGTGTCACAACAGTGTGTTCCACAGATCAGTGACCTTACATGCTGCTGACAGGTACTAGTCAGGAAGGCTTGAGATAAGGCTTTTCCGAAGTAGGCTTGTACGTTACGTCCATTTTTCGGTGCTATCAGAAGGTTGAAATTGACACATGCATTGGAGAACAAGTTCATGCTACATTGCAAATCCAGCTCTGGACGTGCAGTTAATGCTTGATCATTGGCAAACAGGAAGTTATGAACTATGTCCTTGGAAAACTTAGTCTTTGCCCAGAGAGTTGTCCAAGGTTGAACAGCTTCCTGTACATATTTGACAAGTTCCTTTTTGCTTGGCACAGGCATCTTTATTCTTGCTGTATGGTTCCTTGCTCCCATATAAACTGAAAGAGTTCAATGAGCTTCTTCAACAGGTATTTACTTCCAGCCTTGGTGACCTCAGCTGGATAGTATCAGCTCCTGGAACTTTGTTGCTAGGCAAGGACTTGAATGGCTCTGTTGTTTCTGACAGTGTAGACGGGTCATTAGTGAATAAATTGAACAGATTCAGTGAAGGATGTTGATCAGTTTGCCAGGCAAATTTAATTTTTACTAACATAGTTCCATAGTTTATTTTCGGTCCTTGGAGACTAGAAACTAAGGTATGCTCTTAACATCTTATTTGAAAGGCAGCCCTTTCTTAAACTAAAGCACCAATCTAAACTATCTGTTGAAGTTTTTGGTCTGAAATCCATGGACTTCACTCTGAACAAATTGATATGTGAGACCGTTTACAAAAATGATAACTGCAAATAGTCTCTGCTTGTACCAGTGAGTTGTTATATTTATGTCATATATTAATAGCTAGAAGTATGCTCTGAGGAATACAAGTACTTCATTAATAAAGAAAATAATGTTTTTGTTCATGTATTGTAAAATTACATTCTGCCTACATGTTAATTTCATAAGATTGTCAACAGCAATACTCAACAGGAAAAAAGCAAATAGTAACAGTGCACCATTACATAAACTTATGTCCTAATATGTTCTACTTCACTTTAGATGGGATGCTTCAGAGTCATTCTTCAAGTTCTGGAGGGACTGCCAGTCTGCCAACTTGTTCTTCTCGTTTTTATTCCACTAACTCTAATGAACATAAAACAAATGGGGGTAAAGATACACTTCCAAAGAAGTTTAACTTGTAAGTCCATGCATGAAAGTTGATTACTTGGCTTATAAGGCCAACAAATAAGATTTTTTTTTAAAACATACTTCCATTTGCTTACCTTGTCTGACTTTCCTGAAGTCACCACAACTTTGATTATTATTGCTTCATAACTGTCAACTGTCTTGTGCAATCTTTACCCAAAATGGTCATTTTTCGTATATAAGCCAAATGTTTAAGTCCTGGGGTATAATCTTGTGCCCTCCCCCATACCAGATTTGGCAGTGTTTGGCAGGGACAATTTAATCAGGCTGGAGAATGGTGTTGATGGGATTCTGCCACGTTATTGCCTCAACCAGATTAAGGAGCAGTAAGGGCATCCTTAAGTGGCAATTAATTATTGGGTGGAGGTCAGGGGTCACCAGGCAGTCTGCAGACCAAGAAAACCCTGGTGTCTTTGCTTGCAAGCTGCTGAAGAAGGGCTAGAGGACCTGATTAAGGTCCAACCTATTGGCAGCCTCCCCAGCCCTCACTGCTGACATGCTTACCCCTGCGCACCACCCCCCCAACTCATTTGAGACCCCCAACATCATGGAGCTCCTCACTCTACACAACATTGGTCATCTGTGGCCTGTATTCATGGCCTTGGGTGAAAGTCTTAACCATGACATTCATTTCCTAGTGGCTAACAACTCTCAGTAGTCAGTTCTTCCACTTGAGGTCCTGATTCTTGAGAATAGCCTGTCAGTGCCTAATTGGTAGATATTATCGTGGCGCCTTACTGAACGAAGGTGACGCAGGGGATCTCACTCCATACAGTCATCAGTCTAGATCCTCAACAACTGCACAAGATTCTGACTTAGTGTGCTTTATTCAGTCACCTGTTTGGACTTTCAAACAGAGATTGGTGATAGAAATGTACAAACGTTTTAATTAAGACAGAAGTTATTTAGTTTCACTTTATTCAATAATCCCACCTCTAATGCCTTTTGAAAGAGTTCCAAAGTCACACAACACACTGAGAAATATTCTTCTCATCATTGTCCTAGAAGGGTGACTCCTAAATTTAAAATGGCGAGTCATAGTTCTGGGTTCACTGACAAAAGGCAAAATCCTTTCTCAGAACTACCTTGTCAAGATCACTCAGAATCTTATATGCTTCAATCAAGTCACCCCTCATTCTTCAGAATTCCAGTAGAAGAAACTGAGTCTGTCTAAGCTTTCCTCATAAGACAACCTCCTCACCATCCTTAGCATTTTGGTAAACCTTTTCCTCCTTAAATAGGAAGACCAAACTTACTCACAGTATTTAAAATATGTTCTGTATAAATGAGGCATAACATCTTCACGTCCATGTTCAATTCTTCTCACAGTGAAGACTATTAACCTTCTTAATTACTTCCTGTACCGACGTGCTATATTTTTGTGACTCATAGACTAGAACATCTGGATCCCTCTGCACCTCAGAATTGTGCCATCATTCTTCATTTAAGTACTGACATTTTTTTATTCTTTTCATCAAAGTGAACAACTTCACATTTTTCAATGTTATACTCCATCTGCAAGTTTTTGCCCATTCACTCAAACCTATGAATATCTGTGTGCATTCTCCCTACATCCTCTTCACAGCATACTTTCCTACCTATTTTTATGTATTCTGCAAGTTTAGCTCCCATGCCTGTACTCCCCTCATCTAACACGTTGATATTAATTGTTAAAAGTTAAGGCCTCAGCACAGACCCCTGCGGAACTATACTTGTCATATCCTACCAATCAGAAAAATACCTGTTGTTGCTGCTGGCTGTTTTCTGCTAATATTCTATCATTGCTAATATATTATCCCCTCTAAGATAAGCTCCTAATCTGCGCAATAACCTTTTATATGGTACTTTGACAAATACCTTCTGGATATCCAAGTAAGTCAGTGGGATCCTCTCATCCACAAGCGTGTGTAATTCCTTCAAGGAACTTCAACAAATTGGTTGAACATAATTTTCCTTTTACAAAGCCATGTTGACTCTTCCCAATGACCTCGGGTTTTTTTAGGTACCCAACTATACCTCCTTAATCATTAATTTAACTCCATCTCCACAACATATTTTCATAACTTCTGCATCCCTCCCTTCTTGGATGGAAGAGTTAAATCTGCTACATTGCAGTCTGTTGGAACTTTTCCATCTATTGAATTTTGGAAAATTGTCAACACATCTGCTACTTTATTAGCCACCTCTTTTATCTACCTAGGATGATGTCTATCTGGATATGAAAACATGTCAGCCCAGAGTACAGCTCTATCAATGATTAGTACCACTTCCCTTCTGGTTGTAATTTCACTAAGTTCCTCTGTCCATTCCATCTCCTGACTTACAACTATTCCTGGATTTTTTTTTCTATCCCTGTAGTGAAGACAGGCAAAATGTTTATTCATTTCATCCACTATTTCCTTATTATCTACTATTAGGAACATAGGAATTAGGAGCAGGCGTAAGTAATTTAGCCGTTCAAGCCAGATCCGTCATTTAACATGATCATGGCTGTTCTTATCCTTGTGCCAACTGTTGCGAAGTTGGGTAGAGTATTTATGGATTGGAAGGCAGGACATTAGAATTTGATATTCGTAAAATGATGGGGGAAGAGTGTGTGGTTCCTTTAAAGATGATGTGTTTTTTCTAGGCTTTGAGACTAAACAAAAAGGGCAGTTGCACAGAGAGCTGCTGAAATTGAAGCATTGTATCAAAAGGCTGTCTGGTTAACAACCCAGGCAGTGGTTTGTTTTGTTGTTAAGGCAACCAGTTTGAAAATCAGCCAATAAATTTAAACCAGGCACTTAGAAACTAAAAACTAATTAAATTTAACTCTGATGGTTTTGACAACCTAGGACCAATCCTATTGTAAGAAGTAAATAGGTCATCAAGGATATAAAAGAAAAGGGTATTTGAAAATTGGTGTGAGGGTAACTGCCATCTGTTAGAGTTAACAACCATCAGCCCTAAAGAGAAAATCACTGGCTCTCACAGAATTCTCAAATCTCTCAGAAAACCATCATCTGACTAAAGGTACAGCGGCAGTCTTAGCTAATATTCCTGACACAAGAATTTGACAGTGAAAGGCGTTCCGGACTGAGGATCAGCAAAGAAGGTGCGGAGTGTTCCGGAAGAAATAGCCTGACTGTAATTTCGAGAGATTAAGTTTGAATTTTTTTTATTAATTTGGTTTATATAACTGGAACTTATATATATTGGAACAGCATGCTATTAGAAACTTGTTTTATTTAGGATTAGTTAGTATTTAAGGGGAAGTTGTTTGGTTTGTTAGTAGTTCAGTTAATTTGTTCATTGTTAGAGTTAGATAAATGAATTGTTACTTGTTGATTACTGAGTGAGTGAAAGGATTTTATTTTATTTAACCATCCTTTATAACAGATTGGGAGGTGAAAGGTAGGTAATACCACTTTTCACACTTCTTCATAACAGACCCACAGCGATGTGGTTGATACTTAACTGCTTTCTGGGGAATTAGAGATGAGTAATAAATGCTGGCCAGGCCAGCGATGCCCACATCCCATGAATGAATTTTTAAAAATCACTTTTAGCATTTTATATCCCTCAATCAGAACCCACCTCATTCTTCTGAACTCCAGTGACTACAAGCCCAAGCTATTCAACTGCTCCTCATACTACAGCCCTTTCATCCTTGGAATCATAAAGTCATAGAGATGTACAGCATGGAAACAAACCCTTCAGTCCAGTTTGTCCATGTTGACAATATTCTAAATTAATCTATTCCCATTTGCCAGCATTTGGTCCATATCCCTCTAAAGCCTTCCTATTTAAGGCATTTAATGGTGGAGCTGTGGATGTGGTATACATGGATTTAAGTAAGGCATTTGATAAGGTTCCCCATGGTAGGCTCATGCAGAAGGTAAGGAGGCATGGGATAGGGGGAAATCTGGCAGATTGGATTCAGAATTGGCTGACCCTTAGAAGACAAAGGGTGGTAGTGGATGGAAAATATTCAACATGGTGCTCAGTTACGAGTGGTGTACCACAAGGATCTGTTCTGGGACCTCCTCTATTTGTGATTTTTGTAAATGATTTGGATGAAGGAGTGGAAGGGTGGATTAGTAAGTTCACGGACAATACGAAGGTGGGTCACATTGTGGACAGTGCGGAGGGCTGTTCTAGGTTACAAAGGGACATTGATAGAATGCAGAGCTGGGCTGAGAAGTGGCAGATGGAGTTTAACCCTGAAAAGTGTGAGGTGATTCATTTTGGAAGGACAAACTTGAAAGCAGAATACAGGGTTAACGGAAAGATTCTTGGCAGTGTGGAGGAGCAGAGGGATCTTGGGTTCATGCTCACAGTTCCCTAAGCGCTGCCACCCAGGTGGATAGAGTTGTTAAGAAGGCGTATGGTGTGTTAGCTTTCATTAATAGAGGGATTGAGTTCAAGAGCAATGAAGTTATGCTCCAGCTATACAAAAGCCTGGTTCGGCCACATCTGGAGTATTGTGTCCAGTTCTGGTCACCTCATTACAGGAAAGATGTGGAAGCGTTAGAAAAGGTGCAGCAGAGATTTACCAGGATGTTGCCTGGAATGGAGGGAAGGTCTTACGAGGAAAGGTTGAGAGAGCTAGGGTTTTTCTCTTTAGAACAACGAAGGATGAGAGGTGACTTGATAGAGGTGTACAAAATGATCAGAGGTATAGATAGAGTAGACAGCCAGAGACTTTTTCCTAGGGTGGAGGTAGCTTTTACGAGGGGACATAGTTTTAAAGTGAAAGGAGGTAGATATCGGGGAGACGGCAGAGGTAGGTTCTTTACTCAGAGAGTGGTAGGGGCGTGGAATGCGTTGCCGGAGAGGGTAGTGGAGTCGGCCTCATTAGGGGTATTTAAGCGGCTATTAGATAGGCGCATGGATGATAGTATAAGGTAGCGGTGGATGTTAGATAGACCTTAGGTTTAGGGTAAAAGTTCAGCACAACATCGTGGGCCGAAGGGCCTGTACTGTTCTATGTTCTATGTTCTATTCATATACCCATCCAGATGTCTTTTAAATGTTGTAATGGTACCAGCCTCCACCACCTTTTTTGGCAGCTTATTCCATACAGGTACCACCCTCAACCTAGTGAACCTCCTCTGAACGACCTCCAGTGTCACCACATTTTTTCTTAAGTAAGGAGGCCAAAACTGGACACAATACTCCAGGTGTGGTCTCATGAATGCCTTGTATAATTGTCACAACTCTACTTCTATAATCCAGTTCTTTTGCAATAAGTGCTAGGATTTCATTTTCTTTTCTTATTATTTGCTGCACCTGCATGCTCACTTTCTGCTATTCAAACATAAAGATCCTTCTGCACTGATGCACTTTGAACCTGTTTCCAATTTAAATAATAACTTGCCCTTTTATTTTTGCGGCCAAGTGGACAATCTTGCACTTATCAACATTAAACTCCATCTGCCAGATTCTGGCCTGTTCTCTTAGCCTATCAACATCCTCTGCAAACTCTTTATCTCCTCATTTCCCACCTATTTTAGCATCATCCGCAAAATTTGCTATCTTGCACTCTGTCCCTGCTACCATTTATATGGATTGTAAATAGTTGAAGTCTGAGAACGGAACCCTGTGGCATTCCAATAGGTAGAATTCACCATCCAGAGAAGGACCCCTTTATCTGCTCTCTGCTTTCTGTCAGTGAGCCAATCCTCTATTCAAACCAATACCCTATCCTTAAATAAAAACAGAAGTTGCTGGAAATTTTCAGCAGGTCTGGCAGCATTTGTGAAGAAAAAAATCGGAGTTAACGTTTCGGGTCCAATCCTTAAACCCCTGGAATCTAACTTTCTGGACCAGTCTTTTATGCAGCACCTTGTCAAATGCCTTCTGAGACTTTAGATATACCACATCCTTCGGATCCCCATTATATATATTTCTGGTTGCATCCTCAAAGAACTCCAGCAAGTTTTTCAAACCCGACTTGTCCTTCATGAAACCATGCTGACACTAGTGAACTGAGTTTTGTTTTTCCAAGTGTTCAGTTATTTCTTCCTTTATGATTGACTCAAGCAACTTCCTCACTATAGAGGTCAACTGAAATAACTGGTCTATAATCTCCCATTTTTTACCCATCTCCTTTTTTGAATAACGGTGTCACATCAGCATGTTTCCAATCCACTGCTACCTTTCCAGAATCCAGGGAATTTTGGAATATCATAACTAATGCATCCACTATCTCTGCTGCTGCCTCCTTTAATAGTCTAGGGTGTGGGCCATCAGGCTCTGGGGACTTATCTGCCTTTAATCCGATCTGTTTACTTAATACCTTTTTCCTAGTAATAGCAATTTCACCAAGTTCCTCTTAGCTCTTTTGATTTTACTTTTAGTAACTCTTTACTGACATTTAAGGTTCTCCTAATCTTCCAAAGTGCTATTAACTCTTGCAGTATGATGTACCCTAGTTTTTGCCTTTATGTTATCCTTGACTTTCATGTTAAGCCATGTTTGATTTTTCACTTTTTTACAGTTCCTCTTCCTCTCAGGAATAGACTTTGAGAGGTATTTAGTATCTCCCTAAGCATTTGCCATTGTTCTTCAACTGTCCTGCCTTTTAATATTTTTGCCCAGCCCACTCAGGCTAACTCCTTTCTCAGACCTCTATAATTACCTTTGCCCAACACCAAAACTGTCGTATGCAACTCTGTCTTCACTCATTAAATCTGAGTGTGAAATTCTAACGTGTTGCGGTCACTTCTTCCAAGAGGATCCTTAACTACAAGACCATTTCTCAATCCTTCCTCGTTGCATATTACTCCATTATTATTAACTCCATTCTCTCTCTAGAGGACCAACACTGACTTTACTTGCTGTTTTCCTTTTCATATACTTGTAGAAACAATTGCTGTCTGTTTTTACCTTTCTAGATATCTTTCTGTCAAACTTTAATTTCTTTCTCCTGAATGACCTTTTAGTCATTCTCCACTATTCTTTGTGCTTTTCAGTCACCTGACCTGCCAGTTGATCTGAGAGGGGAGCTAAGTTTTCCTAAGTCCCCTTTCAACATATAATGCTTGAACTTCAGAAGCCAAATGGACGATCTGATTGCTGCCCAAGCTTCAAATTTGGGCTAGCCTTCCTGCTCCAACCACTTACCCACAAACCACTACCCAGCACACCCCCCGCCCACCGCCCTCCCATTGGTTTAGCAGACATCTCCAAAAGGCAAATATCTCCATCTGCCTCTGATATGCTCTGCTGGATAGCTATATTTCCATTCTGTGATCATTTACATATGGGAGGTAGACATCCCAATCTCCCATAGAGAGTTACAATGGTATGGGACAGAGAAGGAGGAGGGCACTTAGCTGCTCAGTCAAAAAATATTCCTTTAATTAAAGCAAAATTGTAATCAAGCTAACAATGCCAGTGCTTGACGCTTTTTAATCCCAGGCTCCCTCTGATTAACACCTAATCATCATGGTCTGAAAATCATCCTTCCTCAGAGCATGTTAAAAATGCAGAGGCAAGCATGGCTACATAATGTGTCTCTCTCTCTCCGCTGAACAACTTACCCTAACGGAACTGCCTAGTGGGAGGCATCTGGAGCTGGGGTTTCTGCATAGTGCAACCCCAGTTGCACTCTGCCTTGGCCCACTGCACCTCCATTAAAAAAACCAGTTATGAGGTTGGGGGTGCTGTGGAAGTTACAAAAAGCCTCCACCTGTAGCATTCAGTGCCACAATACACAGTGGATTTGTCACAATTGTAATATCCCAATGATTTCAGGAGAATCTTGAGTTTAATATAGGCGTTAGAATAATCTAACGTTAGCAAACTTATTAAGAAAGGATGTACTGGCACTGGAGGGGGTGCAAAGGAGGTTCACTAGGTTGATTCCGGAGTTGAGGGGGTTGGCTTATGCGGAGAGACTTAGTAGATTGGGATTATATTCATTGGAATTCAGAAGATTGAGGGGGGATCTTATAGAAACATATAGAATTATGAAGGGAATAGATAAGATAGAAGTAGAGAGGATGTTTCCACTGGCAGGTGAAGCTAGGACAAGAGGGCATAGCCTCAAGATTAGAGGGAGCAGATTTAGGACTGAACTGAGAAGGAATTTCTTCACCCAGAGGGTTGTTAATCTATGGAATTCCTTGCCCAGTGAAGTAGTTGACGCTACTTCAGTAAATGTTTTTAAAAATAGATTTTTTTTGAACAATAAAGGAATTAAGGGATACGGTGAGAACGTGGGTAAGTGGATCTGAGTCCACGAAAGGATCAGCCACGATCTTATTGAATGGCGGAGCAGGCTCGAAGGGCCAGACGGCCTACTCCTGCTCCTATTTCTTATGTTCTTAAGAAAAGGAAACCGGACATATTTATTAGTCCGTCATTATTATAGCAGAACAAGTTCTATGGAATAATATTGATAATTATTTATTTAAATTTTTTTTTTGTGAAGGAAGAGCAGAAAATCAAATCCTTAACGATATGGAAAGCACTCCATGAAAAGACATTTTACAACGCATATCAGTGACTTCCTTAAAGGCAAGTTTCAGGAGGGTTGACATGATTTTAAAGCTGCAAGGAACTAGACGGATTTCTCTGACTACCTAGTCTTGAAGAGGAAGCACTTCGATTTGAAGCCAAGTTTCACAAAAGTAATTTATTCCCATATTTTATCTTTCATGTCAGCTGTTATATGAATATTACTGCATATATCCTTGGTTGCTATACAGTGATCACAATTCATTAAAGAAAGCATTGCAGAGCTTTCAGCAGCTACTACCACAAATACCTCCAAGGACCCTGATGGGTATGCACAAAGAAATTGAAAATGTAAATTTATCTCAGCACACTTACGTTGACTATTTCTTGCTTGTAAGAAACTGAAGTATATAGAGTTTGGTATAATGATGTAACTACATTCCCAGGCGTATCTGGGGATATATTTTTGCTGTGGATGATGACTGGAAACAAACTAGGTTCTTTATGGATTTTAAACATCATTCATTTATCTATAGTGACTGACAAGCCAACCCAAAACCTTTGCAAAGTTGTGATAATAAATTATTAAATTTCCTGGTTCTTCAAACTTTTACTGTTGCTTAATTTGAAGCATAAATGGTATGTTTAACTTCTCCCTCTGAGCAATAGCAAATGACCATGTTAAAATGCCAAACCTGGTGCCAAACTGTAACTGAGTAGTTGACCATGATGAAATACAGATTTAAGTTAAAATATTAGAAATTTAACATAAGCGATTGAGCCAATAAACAAGCTTTTAAATACAGACCCAGCAAACCCAAGTTAATTGAAGAAGTGGAATGATACAATTTTATTTCGTCCATATTCAGTGACTAATTTCACAAATCTGGTTTAATTTATATTTGAACAATATAGTAATACTCATTTTTGTTTAAGGGACCTTTTGTGTTGATTTTTCAGGACATTTTTTTAAAAGCTATGAAACAGCTTAGAGTAAATGTTGATATTATCAACTTCAGTGTCTGTTTTGCATTGCAATTAACATATACACCACAAGGCAACTTTCATTCACAGCCAAAGTTACTTCTTGAACTTGATTATGCAGCAATTTATTTTAGATGCTGACCCTGTGTAAATTGCTCTTTAATTTAAGGCCACCTATTGTGATCCTTAAAGCAAATCAGGAGATTCTGGGACCAATTTACTGAACTCCATGTATAACGTTTAATGTTTAATGACAGACCTGGAACATTTAGTTTCTAATAGACTTCTTGAAAACTGAAATCCTTCACTTACACATTGTTTGAATTAAATTAATAAACCAGATATTTAGAACTAGGAAGGTATAGATTTTCAACAAAAAAAAATCCCCATGGATAGAGAAGACTCCTTTCAGTAAAATATCTTTAAATATTAAAGCAGCATTCCATCAGATTGCTACACACTAAGATTACTAACTTAAAAATAAATCTTGAAATTTTAAGTATGTCCATTTACTTTGTACTTCTATATTTCTAAGCAAGCATACACCTCAGTTGTGGACGTCATCACCCACTTGCAGCAAGTTTACGAATTTGAGTACATTTTGGCTAATGATGACTCTATGACACATACAGGAGATATGGTTTTGTTTTAAGTGTTGCCAAATATGAATTGTATTTTAGCCAAAATGTCACCATGGGTGCATATGATGCAAAATTTCCTCTGAGTTATTCTCTCTCACCCTAGTACTGGTTGGCATTAGTTATCATTTTGCTGTTTCAGTGTTGGTGTGATGAAAATCTCAACATGGCACCCATCCAGAAGATTGCATATAATATTTGACTGGCATTGAATATCAGATATCTGTGGCCTGTATTCCTCTCAAAGTTTCAAGAGGCCTTTAGCATTCACTTGGTGTTTATTTTAACAGTAGTACAAGAGGTACTGGCTTATTAAATTGAATGTAACCAATTACTTCAAAAATCTGAAGTGTTTATTTATATTGCTCTGAAAGGTACATTTTTTAATGAAGCTTGCATACTGTATAGAAACTGCAAACACTGAGGTCATGCAGAATATCAGTATTATCAATTGTCCTATGTTACCAATATATTTAGTCATTACTGTATGTACATTTTACCTGTTCTGTTCTGTCTTCTCATGTTGCAATCTAATGGCAATTTTAAATAATTTCTGGTAACCAGAGATTTATTATAAATTTTCAGTGTTGAGTTGAGCTTCTCATTGTAAAACTTTTAGATACAATGTATTGTATTATCGTTTTGGTTATTTTCAGATCTGAGTGTTGTATTTCCTTGATTTGATTTGAAATCTCACTTTACTATTGTCCACCTACAAGACTTTATGTAAGAGATACTTTCTGTAAGAGTAGGTGTTATCCTCTCGTTTCAACATATGTTGTAAATAACCATGTATAATTGCACAAGAATTACATTGTAAGCATGTAAGAGATATTCAAATGTATTGTTTTTTAATAAGATAAAAACAAAATTAATTATTTTAATGTTTATTTTGTTTAGCATGCCCATGATTTTTTTAAAGCTAATATTGCATAAATTCCTTTGTCACATACCTATTCTACTGTCTTGCTGCAAAAATATTTATAAACAGTGTTATGCATTAGATGTGCATACTGATGTAAATATGGCCTTAATCAGATTGAGCTATGCAGTCTAAAATCCTGGCTTTGTGTAAAAAAAAACTTTAAACAGGTAATGTCAATTTAAGTTCTGTTACAGTTGGATGTTACATATTCCTAACTAAGTTATAAACTCTCAATAGAAATTCAGCAATGCCGTTGTGTTTGTTATCTTTCAAAAACATAAATTGCACATTACTGGTACATTTAACACATTCATTGGTTCTCCTTTGTTATTAAGAGCAAATTACTTGTGTTGCGGTGTTTTAGGAACAAAAAACATGACATGAGGAAAGGCCATTGAGTACATCAAAGTTGAAAGAGAATTATACAAATGAGACTGAGAGCTGTCCCACTACTTAGTGGTAAGTTTGCTTGCAGCTTGATGCCATGTGGAGCAGTGTCTTGTAGTGCATATTTCCGCTCAAATGCAGTTCTTTGGCTCATCATCTGCTCAAGTTTCATCCTGACTCTTTTGTTTTCTGTAAATGGTGGGCAGAGCAAATAGTCAGGTCCCACGTCTATCCAGCCAAATTGATTCTGTCCGTGAACATTCTGGGATCTCTTTTCTCTAGCACTTCAGTTCTCTCCTTAATCAATGCCATCACCCCACCTCTTTTTCTTCCTTTCTTATTTTTTTGAACACTTTGTGCCCAGGAATATTTGACACCCAGTCCTGCCCTTTCATGATCCAAGTCTCTGTTATTGCCACAACATCATAATTACATTAGGCAATCTGAATAAGTAAACTTACTAATCTTATTTACTGTTCCTGCTGATTCCCTATGTCACATAGTTACTCTTCTGCCTTGCAACATAAATATTGACGAAGAGTGTAATGCATTATAAAAATCGAAAGGAGTGCGGATACTGTAAATTAAAGACAAAAATAGAAATTGCTGGAAAAGCTCTGCAGGTCTGGCAGCACGTGCAGAGAAATCAAAGTTAACATTTCAGGTCAAGTGACCCAAGATAGTAGGAACTGTAGATGCTGGAGAATCTGAGATAACAAGGTGTAGAGCTGGATGAACACAGCAGGCCAAGCAGCATCATAGGAGCAGGAAGGCTGATGTTTCGGGCCTAGAGAAGGGTCTAGGCCTTCCTGCTCCTATGATGCTGCTTGGCCTGCTGTGTTCATCCAGC